ATAAGGAATGCTGTTGTTGTTGTGATGTTGTTTATTGTCGTTTGTGAATCTTTCTTGGTCCACCCCACTTATCTTTCTTGAGTTTATGAGTTAATTTCAAGAAATGATAACCCGGGGTTGAGTTAAATTTGGTGAAAATTTTATCAGATTACATAGTAATAATAATAATAATAATAATAATCTTTCAGTGCCCATTATTTTCTTTTTTATTTCACTTTTACGCAAAACTAAAAGAAAGAAACTTAGTATTAGTATTATTATTAGTATTAGTATTATTATTAGTATTATTATTATTTAGTAGAATGTTACTTTGAAGTATTTGACATTGTTAATTTTTTTGTTTCAATTTCCATTTATCATCGCTTGCTGTATATCTATGAGAATTTTGACGCTTTACTTGCAGACTAATATTCCGTGTGCCTTGTGTAAGAGATAAAGCCCCCACCCCTCTCAACAAATTACCATCGTTGAAGGTAAAACCCACCAACAGACCACCCACAAGATTATTCTTATCTCTAACTATCTACTTATTGCAACCCAGTAACAATCACGGCGTTGTTATCATTAATCATCAACATCATCCGTGTCCCAGTAATAATACAAGCGTTGTTACCGCCAACTCCCATTAGTTGGTACAGCTTGTATGACAAATTGCGACGAGGTTACAATTGACGCAAAAGGCCCTAATCTGCAAATTTGCTTAAACTGTAAAAATCTTATTTTTTGGCACATCGCACACGACTATACATATTAACAAATTCACATTATCCTCAACTAAAGTGATATAACCAAGAGATGATTCGATTATTTTTTTTTATTATTATTATTCTTTGGGAATTACTTTAAATCGTAAACAAGGTTTTTTATGAAATAATATGATGTAACTGAGTCTGGGGTAATAATTTAATTATTGATCACACAAAATAAAATAAAAAAAAAAAATACATCTTTCAACCAAATGACTGAATTATAAGGCTCTTTTCTATTTTGTTATTTCTTATAGTAATAATGCCGTACGAGTTGAATTTCGAAAAAAAAAAAAATTGGGAAAAGAAATATCGCCCATCATCACTACCGAGGAGCGCACACAGAGAGAAAGAGTGGGGTATATCATTAGGATGTTACTTATTATTAATCCTGTCAAAGAAGGAAGACCTTTGCAACAGCCATGTAGAACCCCCCCAATGGTAGGGATTAATGACATTCTCTACAAATATGGGGTCTCTTACCCTTTTGAATAACAACAAGGTATTTTTCTATTTGAAATACAAAAGAAACCCACAACTCCGTAATTCAAAAAAGTATCTGAAAATAAAAATAAATAAAAACAAAATAAACGTTCGATCCATTATTCTTATTGTTCTACTCTTCGTGTGGGATTGCTTTTTTATTTAGTTTGGTAATAATGAAAATTGTATCATCATTGCTTTCGATTCAAAAACACCGTAACTGCTTCATAATGATGGTTTACATTTAAACTTTTCACTAATTTGTGGGGTTTTTAATCCGGAGTGAAACTAGTCTGGGGTTAAATTAGTTTATTTAAATGAAGTTGTATTATCCTTTTTTATTTTTCTTTTTTTTTGCAATTCCTACTACTGGGTTGCATTTTTTTTGGTTTTTATGATTTTGTGCCATAAACCACGTGATTCGGATAAAACAGGAAGAATAATACAGAAGTTTAAAATGTAAAAAAAAGAAGAATCCAATATCATTGGGAAAGAGATCTACAGGCTCATACTGGTGAAACTGGTTTTGATATGTGTAATTATCGGTTATCGCACCAATCAGAGTAATCTCGCTTATCTTTTGTTCATCAGGATATGGCTTCTTGATCTTTTTCCTATTCATGTTTAATTTCCTTTATTGGATAGTTTTAGGTTTATCCGAAACTGTCTAATCTATCGGATTAATTAACTAATTTCTATGAGAGATAACCCTGAGATCTTGCAATATCTTAAACACAAGATGCTTTTGTAATATCTAGCCGTTCAAGCCATTTAGTCAAGGCTTATGAGTACAGCATTAAAATTACTACGTGTAATTACACTATCCTTATATCATATACTAGTATTAAGCATTAATAATTAATTAATAAATATATCTAAACTCTTTATTTTCAACATCAGTCAAATCCAAAAATTCAAAATTTTCTGGCATTTCAATATTCAATTGATCTCTTTTTTCATTTTCCTTCTTACATAACCAACCAATTACCATACAAATTGGAATACAAAGACATTGAGTAATTAAAATAACAATTTTTGCTGGATGATAATGTGGTGCACTATAAGCTTGAAATAATTGTGGCCCTATAATACAAGCAACTGAAAATGCAATCATTGTCATACCACTTCTAAAAATTTTCTTTGATGTACCTGCTGTATTTGCGCTTACCCATGCATAAATTAATGTGATAACTGATGAACCAGAATATAATAAATAAAGTGCAAGAATATTTCCAATTCTATTTGGTGAAATGATTAAAACAATTGCTCCAATTATAGTTGGAACAAACATTGAAATTGAAATCATGGTAATATGTCCAAATCTTGCAACCAATTGAGTGGCAGTAAGAATAATTACAATAATTAAAAATCCAATTGGTAATTGCAACAATGCTGATTGATAACTATCAAATCCAAATGTTAATGTGATAGTGACACTAAATGTACCAATTGCACCAGTGACAATTTGAGAAGTAATTGTTAACAAGAAATATAACCAAGTGAATTTATCACCAAATAACAATTCTTTAATATGTTTCCATTTAAATTTAGAACTTTTAGTACCGGTTTGATTTTTTTTAACAACATTATTTAAAAGATAAACTTTATCTTCTTTATTCAAAAACCAAGCAGTATGAATATTATCAGGTAAATAAAAACAAACAAATATACCAAAAGCAATAGTAATTAAACCAATAACAAGAAATAATATTTGCCATGAAGTAAATCTAGTAGTTTTAATATGTTGGAAACCAAAAGAAAGCAAAGCACCTACCATAGTAGCAGTACCAGCCATAACTGACCAAATCCCCATTCTTGCAGCTTGTTGAGGTTTTGTATAAAAAATACTCGTAACCGTGATTATTCCAGCAGCGGAACTTGCTTCAAATAAACCTAATAAACTTCTAACAATCATTAATTCAGCATAAGTTGAACAAGCAGAATGACAAGTTACTACAACACCCCAACAAATAATATAAACTCCTAAAGTTTTACCAAGTGGGAATCTTTGTAACATATAAGAAGCAATTGGTTCACCAAATATATAAGAAGCATAGAAAATAGTTGATAAATTAGCAAATTCATTACCAACAAGATGTTTTTTAATTCCCATAGCAGCAGCATAATTCAATAATGATTTATCTAAAAATTGAAAGAAATAAATCCCACATAATAAAGGAAGAATAATAAGGTCTAATTTCCTAGTTACTTTACGGGAATCTTCTGGTTGTTCATCTGGAGTATCATCATTATGGATGTTTTCTTTAACAAATGGTAATGCATTATCAAATTCACTATCATCACTAACTGACTTATTACTAAGTGAAATTGAAATCTTTTCACTCATACTTGATTGTAGTTATTGGAATTATGATTCAAAAAAAATTTTTTCATCTTCATTTTCATTTTCAATCGATTCATTCCTAGCCGTTGGTTATATATACTCATAGGGTTAATTAATACAGCAACTCAGTATTAATTACGAATTATGCGCTTAAGATGTGGTGTAAATTGGAACCACCTGATTACAAAACAAAACAAAAATTACTTTAAAACCTTAAAAGGAATTGGAGTATAGTTTAACATACATTACTATCCTCATGTGATACACCCCTCTCCCTTCCACTCTATTGCTATCATTGGTTGGTTTTCTTCAAAAAGCATAATTCCTCCCCAACCCGGTCATCGCACTGGATTGTTCATCAAGGGAAGGTGAGTTTTGCTTCATCAAATGTTAGCTTGAAAAATATAAAAAAATGCGCATAATGGGCAAAGGAGGAGGATTTTTATTATCAAACCGTTAGAAAGCATAAGCCGTTGATTTGGAGCACACTCAACCGTTAGAGTAGTTGTAAGAGAATAACAAGTGGCTTAGGAGATGTGATCTGTTAGTTTAAATCAACCGTTGATTGTTGAACTGCATTGGTTTCTGAATCAACGGTTTTAAATATTAATTGAATACATATTTTTTTATGCACATCAATGCTTGTTATTATGTGGTTACTAATGTATCCATATCAGATCAAACATTATCAATACACAAACTCCATGAAGGATAGTTTATGTTAGGAATTTCAAATGCAAATACATCTTTTCAGGAACATTGGATGCGAATGATGTATAGAAATAGTTTCATACACAAACAAAAACAGGAACAGGAACAGGAACAAAATTTTTTTGCAACTTTTTATTGTTAACAACAAATCAAAATGGATGTGAATTATATTACAGAAACTCATATTCTTTATTATCTAACTCGTGGTATACAAACATCATGTAGATTAACTGAACCACCAATTAGTATCAATGATTTAACACAAGACGATTTTAACGAACGAAGAATCTTTCAAATTAATAACAAGATCGAATCTAAAAAGAATGAATTTGAATTCACAACTTATTCACCAGATGTATTTCAAGGATTAAGAAGTTTTTACAAAATAGATAATTTTTATGATGAAATTATTAAAAATAATGAAATACCATTTGAAGAATTTAAAAGTCCTGGAAAATCAGGTAGTTTATTCTTTCTTAAGAATGAATATTTATTCAAACAAGTAGAAAAAGAAGAATTAGATATATTGATTAAACATTTGAATGATTACTTGGATTATTTGAAATTTTGTAAATTGACATTACTTCCTAGGTATTATGGTGCATATAGTATTAAACTTGAAAATAAGAATGTTCATTTTATTGTAACAAACTATTTATTCCATCAGTGTCAGATTGATTCAATTTATGATTTAAAGGGATCAACAACAGGTCGTGAAACCAACCATCAAGATATAAATGATGAGGTGATATTCAAAGATATCGATTTTATAGATCATGAGAAATTAATTACTATTCCTAGCAATCATAAAAGAAAGGAATTCATGTATCAGCTCAAGAGAGATGTTATATTCTTGTCGCAGTTTGGATTAATGGATTATTCACTTTTGGTAGGATTTGGTCAGACTTCATATAAACCACATAAATTGAAATGTGTCAGTTATGACAATGACAATGGCGAAACCGTTTATCTTGGTTTAATTGATTGTTTAACAAAATATACCTTGAAAAAGAATTTTCAAACTTTTATTAACTCCATGTCAATTCCCAAAAAGGAAGCTCTGGCTATACCACCAAAAGAATATCGTACACGATTTATTAAATTCATAAATACAATAACAAAATAATCCATGTTTCGAGTTTGGACAAATTAAATGTTTTATCAAGAGTCTATATGTAATTACCATATCTGTCTGCTCCTAAATTTGCCAACCTATCAGCTTCATCATTACCATAATCTCCAGAATGTCCTCGAACATGTATGAACTCAATATCTCCCCAACCACGGTCTTCGTATTCTTTATTAATACTCTTCATCAAGTTGAAATTCTTTTGAAGTAGATCAACATTGGCGACGGTGTCACCTTTGGCATTAATCCATCCATTGTTACACCATTTATAACACCAAGTGGTGATACTATTAATGACAAACATTGAATCAGTACGGATTTCTGTCTTCAAACGACAATTTCCAGCATTGATATCATTAACAATGTTTACTAAAACTTGACACAATGCATACAATTCAGCTCTTTGATTGGTTGGTCTATAGTCATTATGTCTATCCACAAGATCTAATGGATTGGCAACATTTCGAGGATTGTTACGTCCATAAAAGACACCATAACCAGCTGATGAATTATACTTATTCCCATTACCTCTGCATGCACCATCAATATATACTACTTGTACTTGAAATACACCATAAGTACCTTGTCTCATATAATGATGGAAAACAAAATGCCAAGCTTCGTCTATAGTTTCAAATTTTCTAAAAGTTGCACCACTAGCCCCATTCACTTGAGCTTTACATGCTGGCCAATTAGTATATACACCTGTATTGAAACCTCTTGTTACACCGTAGTAAGGCATTGTTGGTATTTTACACAAATGATTAATCGAGTTGAATTGTTCTTTATTGAAAGTTGTAGCTTTGTTGTTGAATTTGTGGTTTTTTTTTCTTTTTCCTACAACTAAAATTGACAGTTTTTTAGAATTAAAGAATTTCATGTGCACATACATTTGAGCCGTTCATTTTCGTATATCATAAATATAAATCTGCAAGAACTAATTAACCGGTGGTGAAATAATCTCAAATGTGATGGTCCGTGAAATTTAATTTCAGGGCAATTATTCAATGTAGTTCAAAGATTCAGTCCTCTGGTATTGTCCTTATATAGCCTAGTAAGCACCTATGGAAATAGTTGATTTCTTGTGCAGCCAAAAGTAATAGTAGACTTTGAACTTACAGGGACAAGTGGGATCAATGACTTAGACTACAATATAGTACTAGTTACTTGGATTTAGTTAACGGTCTAGGAATAAGCTTATCCTTGGCATCGACTATTGTTTAACTCGATACAATTTTCAAAAGCATAACCAACCTATGATTAACTACTTGATACTTCAATAACAGAAGTGCCTGTTAACCCATAAAACGAGTATAGTACAAGATTAAATAAAATAATGCCTGTTCAGCATCCAGATGAAAACAACTGAATTGGAAAAAGTCTATAGGTACTGACCATAGTTATCAGCTCCTATATTTGCTAATCTGTCAGCTTCATCATTACCATAATCACCAGAATGTCCTCGAACATGTTTAAATTCAATGTCTCCCCAACCACGGTCTTCGTATTCTTCATTGATGCTATTCATCAAGTTGAAATTCTCTTGGATTAAATCAACATTGGCAACGGTGTCACCTTTAACATTATTCCATCCATTGTTACACCATTTATAACACCAATTAGTAATACTATTGATGACAAACATTGAATCAGTACGAATCTCGGTTTTCCGATAGCATTCATCATTTTGAATGTCGCTATTGATATTTAGTAAAACATGATTCAATGCATGTAATTCGGCTCTTTGGTTAGTTGGTCTATAGTTGTTGTCTTGATCTACAAAATCTAACGAAACAGCAGCATTTCGAGAATCATTGTGACCATAGTAAACCCCATAACCAGCTGATGTATTATATTTGTTCCCATTACCTCTGCATGCCCCATCAATGTAGACCACCTCAACTTCGTAAGAATCATTACATCCATCAGAACTTTCATATCCATCAGAACTTTCATATCCATCAGAACTTTCGTATCCATCAGAACTTTCGTATCCATCAGAACTTTCATATCCATCACTATTAGAATATCCATCACTATTCGAAACTCCATCACTGCTAGAATATCCATCAGAATCTTCTCTTACGTAACCATTATGAACAAAAAACCAAGCATCATCTTCGTTATCGAATTTTCTAAAATTTGCACGGCTAAAACCATTGACTTGGTTTCTACAAGCAGGCCAACTATAATAAACCCCGGGATTGAAACCTCTTTCCACACCGTAGTAAGCCATTGTTGATAGCAAAATGAATTGTCAATTGATTACCTATGGAAGGAAATTGTAGTGTTGCCGGTTGAATTGTTGTAATTCAACCAAAACTTTGATAATTCCTGATTGAAACAGGGAGGGGGGTCCACTTTCAAATTACAAACTCTTGTGAGAACTGTGAGACAGAATTTTTCACCGTTGAGAAATGAGAGAGATCAGACAATTTGACAACCTCCAGACAGACAACAGAAAAAAATTAATTAAACATTGTTGTAACAATTACGTAATCAGAGAGAGTGTGTGAGTGAGTGACAGAGTAAGAAACTGGTTGTAAATTTTTTTTTATTTTCTCACTGGTTGTCTCTGTTTGTTTGTCTCGCTTGTTTAACTTACAGTCAGTGGACAACAATATTGTAGAGGGAGCAAAGAAAGAAAGAAAGAAAAAAGAAAAAAGAAAAATTATAGTACATAGACCGGATTTTGAAAATCAGTGAGACAACCAAAGTCAATCCCAACTCTCACTTTAAATTACAACTTGTAAATTTAATTACCCACGGCAATTTTAAACCCACCCATCAATAACATTAGATGTCGACAAATAAATCACGGAATAGAAACAGTTTGCTATCGTCGCATAGCAGATCATCCTACTCAAATTCAAACACCAAAGATGAAATAATAGCCATGAAATATCTGATGGATAAACCAGATTTACCTATTTATCCCATGTCAGATCATATGCAGAAAAACTCATCCACTGATGTCAAAACTAACCAGAATCATGAAAAATCAGAACAGATTTATCCAGATTTCATGCCATGGAAAGATCACACCCAATTGTCTACGGATCAACAAGAAAAACAACACCAAAGATTGAACAATGCATCTTATCTAAATAAAGGGTATTTTGAAGCACCTCAAGTTGCCAATGAATACTACTCAGCAAGAAATTTGATACTGGCAACGGTGTTTTTATCTAATGACAATTGTAATACCGTGGTTAAGGAATTATCGACATATTTAACTAATGCATATAAAACAAGAAATGAAGTCATTAACAAAATCAAGTATGATTCAAACCATTTTAAGATCCCAAACAGAGTCACTTTGACAAGCAATAAAAAAGAAGCATGGTTGAGAGAGATAAGTAACTATAATGTTCCGTTAAAAAAAATCGGTGAAAAAATTCCCCATGGTCTTAGGAATAAAGTACTTATAGATGCCATCTGTACTAGAGGTGTTCCTATAAATCGATCAATTTGGTTAACTAAATGTGTCTTGTATGGTGAATTGGTCTCTTTGAGAAGAAAACATCAAAATAGAATGTCTGTAAGTGGAACAATACCTCTGGTTAATGATTTCAACACATTTGAGAAATTTGAAGTCCATTGGCTACAGGAATGGACACAACAGGTTGCAGATTATGTGTTGAAATTTTCAAGAGAAATGCTGTCAATAAATTCCACTGAAAAGAAAGCACAATATTTAAGGAAATTCAATCATTTGATCAATTATGTTAAGTCATTATATGTGGAATCATTGCTTGATAAGTCATTTTTCTTATCTCTGGTGTTGAGATTCTTAAAAGATGGTCTTCCTTTACAACCAAAACATATTGACCAGTTATTATCTATAAGTACCGATGATAATAACCGATCAATGAGTAGTGGCAATGATAGTGGTGATGGCGATGACGACAATGACGACGATTATGATGATAATGAACTTGCGGGGAAGCAAAATTCGTGGATACATGATGTTGATATGAATTATGGACAACGCTTAGCCGCATTGACTTTGATTAAAGTATTTTGGAACGATTTGATAAAAGTAGATTATTTATCCAAAGAATTGAGTGAACTTTTACTTTTGAATTATTTTTTCATTGAAAGATGGTCTACATCACCTACCACTTCAGCTACATATGAAAAGTTTGGGTTATCTGACGGCTTGAGGTTCAAAATACTTAAATTGATCACAGATACAGTAAAGTATCTATTTGAATTCAATTGCAATATCTTTATCATACCAAACTATTGGATGCTTATAGAAAGTTCGTTGGTTAAAATTTTGTTGAATTCATTCAAAGAAGGTGGATCTGAAAAGGAACACGAACAGATCCTTAAACAACTAGAGCTCATCAAATATAGAAATGAAAGTTTGATTTTAAATATGAAGAACGAAGCAAATGTGAATTCTGAAAACAACAGGTTAATAAACCGTTCAGCATCGTTCAGTGGATTTAATTCAACAGCAGTTTCTCCAGCTCCAAGCAGTAACGTGGAAACTGATTACACTTTTATCAATAGGAATTCAGATGATATTTTGAATATAATTGAAAAGTTGGATACATTACGCTTTAATGAAGAATTTTCAAATTTACTTAAACCAGGCAGGAAGGGAAATAAAAACTGGCAACTCAATTTGAAAGTTGTGTTATGTTGGTGTGTTTCTCCATCAAGAGATTATCGTGATTCCATTGGAGATATTTTATTTATTTGCAATTTCTTACGCAACAACGTACTGGCTGATTTGAACAAGTCGTTGAAGGCGGAATTTGATAATGAAATACTTGAAATTATTTATCAAATTGCTGAAGATACAACTCTGAATTTTGTGAATGCTAATTTGTATGTTTTGATCAATGAATTATATCAATTGAAACTCATTACAATTGCTGCCTATTTGAGAAAATTGATTGCATCAGGTATATTCTACTTAGAACCAGGTACTCATCAGGATTTGAATAATCTTCCACTAGTTGCAAGAACCCATTTGGAGATCTTGGAAAATCTTCCGGTTTTAAATAATCGACAATGTGATAGTATTTTGAAGAAATGGACACCGTCAGGATTTGATTTCAAAGGAAAATTTACCGATGGGCAAGCAATGTTGCAGAAATCTATCATTGATAAAGTGTTTAGCAATTCATTAAACCGTCATGAGAACACAGAATGCACTAATTATATCAGTTCCTTAAATGTTGGTTTACAATTCTTATTGATCAACTGGCTTACTAATGAAATAAAATCCAAAAGTAGCTCGGCTGTACGTTTGATTCATTTTACTCCAGCAGTAGTAACTAGTTTGTATCAATTTTATAGTCAAACGGCAGGTTTGACTGTGTTTTTCAAAGTGCTTATCCCAACGATTTTGAAGAATGACGGTGGGATGATCATTTTCTATCTCGATACTTTATTCTTGATTTCAAAATTAACTGTCAGACACTTTAAATTGATCAAATTTATTCCTGGTGGTTACGACAGCCCATGTATTGGGTATGATATTTTTAAATTAATTGTTCAAGCTTATAAGGATTTGTGTGGTAGAGAATATGATTACTTCAGATTTGATAACCTTTGGAATTTTATGGATGCAGTTATTGAGAAGGCTCCTGAAAACTCACATACCAATGAAGGGTTTTCAAACAGCGAACAGTCTTTGCCTAAATTGCCAAATTCACTAACAGGAAAGGATACATTAGAGTCACCTATGCATATTAATACAGTTGAAATCCCTGCAGCACGCCTGCATGCCGAAACCCGTTCAGGAAGTAGAAGATACACCTCGACTGATTTTAGAAATGACATTTCATACTTGCGTGGGTTGGTTCTTCAACCACTTACCCCTGAAGATTCAGATGAAATTCGGGCAATGTTTGAAACTGATATTATTGGCACAGAATTACAATATTGGTATGACAATTTTGAAAATTTATCAGAAGAGAAAGAGATTGCTTTAGTTAAACTTTTGCGTAGTATTTTAGTCTCGGATCAATCTTTTACCACTAAAATTAGAGAGTTCCTTGTTGAATCTGTGAAAAATTCCACTGACTCCCAAAGATTAACCACATTCTTGATGAAGATGAATGTTTATGATATTACTAGGATGAATGAGTTGGTTAAAACTCTTCTTCCAGTCTGCTCGGAATCGGGTCAAGAATCTATAGTTGATGAATTGGTACTTGGAACTGAGGGTATCGAAAACAGAGTACTTAGTATTTCACAAAAGGTATTGCTTGAACTTAATCGTCATTTCTATCGAGTTAGATCCATCAAGTCATATTCAATGATTATACTGCGTGGGTTGTTGAAAGGAGGACCTGCATTTTCAAATGCTTTCTTTGTTAAATACAGAATACCTATCTTGAGATTCCTTAATCTTGCAATTGTCACCAACACGAAGAGCATTCTAAATGAGTTGTATATCAAATTACCAAGAGAAGACTGTCTTGAATTGTTGAATATTCAACTTGGACGTACCGAAGATAACTTCATAAAAACATTAGGTGATTTTGAGAAATTTATTCCAGAAATTGACGAATTTAATTTACCAGTTTGCCAAATTTTATTGGGTGTCATATCTAATTCTTTAGTACCTTTGGACTTTTCAATGGTAAAAGAACAATTGGAGCATTTCATGAATGTTTTATTGTCAACTATGAACTTGAGGTTTTCCAACAGCAATTCTTTTTTTGGAGAATTGTTTAGTTTTATGGCTTGGACTCATAAAATCTGTATTTTGGAAATTTTGGAAACCAAATTTTTAACTGAAACTAAATTCGATAATGGTATTGAATTGTTTGTTACACCAACATCCCAACAGAACTTATTACCTTCACTTAATGATTTCCTTAAAAAGTTTGCCGCATCATCATCTTCGTCTGCCAATTCGGTAGAAAGTGATAAGAACTTATTGCAAAAGTTGTTAGAATTTATTGACAAGTTAGTTGCTGTTGTTAATTCTGAAGAGGTTGTTGAACCAACAGACAGTATAAGTTGTGCAATCTCAGTGTTTTTAAGAATATTGATAATTCATAAACTGTCATTATGTGAGTACATTTCAATTTGGACCACTGATCAGTTGGTTATATCATTTGTATCTAAGTTGATTGACTTGTTGAATTCCAAATATTTAAGCAATAGTGATGACAAGTTAAGAATTTTACTTTATGATCTTTTGCTTTTGATGAAATCGGGTATTACCCAAGAGATGCATTCAACTAGAGATACTGAATTATCTGACAGTACATCTCCACAACACCATGTTAATGAACCATTAAAGCAACAACAGGCTAAAGATATTGAACATGAAGCTACTTCACCTAAATCAAAAGATTCCAAGCTAGAGAATGTACATATTGTATCACTGATACAAAGTTTGTTTGATTTGCCAGAACCAAGTACGGCTAATCCATTTGCTGCTTATCTAAATGATAGTTTGGTTAAATGCTCATTGATGTTGGACAATGATGAACTTGAACGAGGTGGGGATATCAGTGTATTTAACAATCGAGGACTTGTATTAAAATCTACTAGAAATGAAAGTTCTGAGTTGACATCATTTGGAGAAAACAATATCATGAAATCAAAGAATCAACAAGTTAAAGATTTCAAATTTAAGAGTTTTGAAATACTTGAAGATATTGGAACAAATTCATTAAATGATGGGTGCATTAATTTGCAATTGTTTGATGCTTATACCACCAGGGAGAATCCACCATGATGTTAAGTAGAAACATAAATAGTAGTATTAGTAGTGGTATTAGTAGGTGTAATCAAGTATAGAAGGACGCGTCTGTTTTAATTCCTGTATTGTGTGGTTTGTAACATGTTGACATGTAAAGTAAAACAAGGAAAGGGGGAAGAAAAGAATTCATAATTTGATATGAAATTTGGTCTTTGGTGTAGACACGTCTATTTTGGTATCAACAAAATTTTTTTGTTCTTTTTCGTCAAAGTTGTGACTAAAAAAAAAAGCAACATGACTCTGCTGTCATTTAAACTACAATTTAACAAGAAATAGGGTCCACAAATAGACATACTACAAATTGAAATATGGCTGATGAAAAGAGACCAGAACAGGATAATATGGGGTTTGACCCTCCTGATTTTAGTCGTACCTTTGAAGAATCACCACGGATTTCTTATACCGAAATACCAATTATATCAGAACCTGAAGATGAACTCCCGGTTACCCCAGTTCAACCACAAATATCAGTAGGTGATCGAACAAGTAATATTGGGTTTTTAGCAAGTGCAAATTTTTCTACAGATTCTTTAAATGATGCATCAGGACCACCAATGGACTACTATAGTGGTTATAGCAATAATTTCAACAATAATTCACCTAGAAGATATTCTAATTCTTCAACTTCGACGACAAACACCACCAACATGCCTACATCAATGTATCGTACTACTTCTAATACTCGTTCACGTCCATTGTCTGCATTTTTAATGGACTCTGGGAATGCAATTTCAGAAGATGGTCAACCAGTAGTTCCACTGTTTAATAATACCCCAAGATCAAGAAATTCATTTACTTTCAATGTTAAGACACCAACTGCCACAACATTTACTCCACCTCAACAATCTTCAAGTAGTTATCGTTCTTCTTCACCAACACGACAAACATCTCCACTGAGAATCAATAAACATTATCGATCAGGATCACCAGTAAGAAGAGGTTCATCACCTACAAAAGTTGCCAATCCTTTTAATTTCAACTCCCAGGATTTAATGTTTCAAAATAATAATGGATCTAGTCAAACTCTACAGGTTAAACCAGCACATAGAAAAGGTCACAAGTATAAACATTCTTCTATATCTATGAATCTTTTCCAAGAACCTCCACCAATTAATCTTGGTGATGTTCAATTAGTTGCTATACCTGATCTGTATCCAATTCCTAATTATAAAGAAACAATTGCATCAGTTACTCCCAATCAAAAATTTAGATTTCTTTGGTCAATTTGTCATTTAGGATTATCTATTGTTATTTTTGGATTAGGTTTTAAGTTTAAACTTTCTGCATTGTCCACATTGGCACATTTAGTATTTTACGATTCGTTAGGGTCTTTACTTATTGTATTTGTGGATGCTATGTCAAATTTCGAAGTTTGGAATAAATCATCAATTGCATATCCATTTGGATTGGGAAGACTTGAAGTGTTGGTTGCTTTTGCTTTAAGTACATCTTTGGTTATGGTTGGATTTGATTTGTTTAGTCATTTCATTGAAGAGTTTATTGTTTTATGGGTAGCCACAGATAATCATAATGATCATGAACATCTGTCACATCATGTTCATGCTGAACCTGGAAGTGACGAAGGAAATTGGTTTGCATATATGGGAATACTTGTTGTCACAATGATTGTTTCATTAATTTCATCCAATTATATTTTAACGTATGATAGAATTAGTGAGATGATGAATAATCAAGAAAACAATGTATTCAACAATAGTTTATATCCTAGTAACAGTAACAGAGGAAATGAAAAGAACACCTCACAACAAAAACAAAAGTTGAAGCAAGTTATTGATGTTTGGAAAAAGAATCCTACTCATTTGATTACTTTGACTTATACATTGTTTTTGATTATATCACCACTTGTACCACAAAGTTTAACATCTGAATTGGCTATTGATATTAATGAATTTGCTACAATTACAGTTGCTTTACTACTTTGTTATAATGGTTGGAAATTGGTTAAATTATTGGGTGGTATATTGTTGTGTTCATTCCCATATTCCGATTATGATTATAATGTTGTTAGGGCAAACATTACTGATCAAATATTACTGAAGGATTTCTTCAAACAAAGTTATAAAATTGAAAAATTTTTCATTACAAAATTCAATTATAAATTGTTTGTTGTTGGTATGAAGATTGAAATGAAGGGAGCCAATTCAGATGAAGAAGTCCGTATGAGATTTGAAGTCAACAGAATTATTCGTAGAGAATTAGAACAATTGGAAGGATCAAACAATCATTTAACTGCTGAAACTACAATTGATATAGATAGATTTTGATGATACATAGATTTTGAACTAAAATATATCAATCGCCGCATTCATTTCCCAATTAGGAAATTTTTTTATGAGTAATAATTGATTAAGCGCGCTCAACAAATATTCATCGAATTATAAATTAAACGGGGAAGAAAAAATTTTCACCTCTCTTTTTATTACTCTTTCTTTTTCTTCTTCTTCTTCTTCTTTCCTATTTGATTAACAAATACCAACCCATTTGAATTATCAATGTTGAAATACACTACTAGAAGTTTATTGAAGAAACAACTCTTAACTCCAAGAGCAACAACATCGTTGAATTTAAAATTTTACTCGACTTCAATTCCTGATGCCAATGAAAATTCCAATACTGGTAAATTCATTGATTCTACATCTAAACCATATTCAGTTACTACATATGCTAGACCAAATTTAGTTTTAACTCATGGTAAAGGATCATATATTTATGATTTAGAAAATCGTGAATATATTGATTTTACATCAGGTATTGCCGTTACATGTTTAGGACATGCTAATGAAGAAGTCAATAAAATTATAAATGAACAATCATCAAAATTATTACATTGTTCAAATTTATATTATAATCAACCAGCAGGAGAATTATCTGAAAAATTAGTTAATAAAACTAAAGAAAATGAAGGTATGAAAGATGCAAGTAGAGTATTTTTATGTAATTCAGGTACTGAAGCTAATGAAGCAGCATTAAAATTTGCTAGAAAATATGGTAAATCCATTAATTCTGAAAAATATGAATTTATAACATTTGAAAATTCATTTCATGGAAGAACTATGGGTGCTTTATCAATAACTCCAAATCCTAAATATCAAAAACCTTTTTCACCTTTAATCCCAGGAGTTAATGTTGCTAAACCAAATGATATTGAAAGTGTTAAACAATTAATTAATAAAGATAAAACTTGTGCTGTTATAATTGAACCTATTCAAGGTGAAGGTGGAGTTAATCCAATTGATGAAAAATTTTTAATTGATTTAAGAAAATTATGTAATGATAATGATGTTTTATTAATTTATGATGAAATTCAATGTGGTTTAGGTAGATCAGGTAAATTATGGGCTCATTCTTGGTTACCAAAAGAAGCTCATCCTGATATTATTACAATTGCTAAAGCTTTAGGTAATGGTTTCCCAATTGGTGCTACTATGATTACTGAAAAAGTAGAAAATGCTTTACAAGTAGGTGATCATGGTACTACTTATGGTGGTAATCCATTAGCTTCTGCAATTGGTTCATTTATTGTTGAAAAAATAGCAAATAAAGAATTTTTGAATTCTGTTCAATTAAAATCAAAAATATTTGTTGATGGTTTACAAAAAATTGCTAGTGAAAATCCAAATGAAATTATTCAAGTTAAAGGTAAAGGATTATTACTTGGTTTACAATTTAAACCTGAATTTGATATTGGTAAAGTTGTACAAAAATGTAGAGAAAATGGTTTGTTGGTTATCACCGCCGGTATGAACACTGTTAGACTTGTTCCTGCTTTAAACATCCCAGATGAAGCAATTAAAGAAGGTCTTGACATTCTTAGTAAAAGTATTGCAGAAAGTAAGTAGACAGAATATTGAGTAATAGAAATATATGTTTATTTTGAGTTATAGAACAAGAGGAGTTATAATTACCTGTTCAACTTTCGAATTTTTCTTGGTTTCAACAAAGACGTATCCATGGATTCCGATAATATGTTTTCCTCTATGTATAATCGTTGAAAATTAGGCTTGATAGTCAATTCATCGAATAGTACTTTAGCATCTTTAGCAGCTAATTGATTACCTTTCACATCAACTATTAGAATAGCATCACTGAATAGTTTTCCTTGGTATTCATGCAAGTTACTAATAAAATCATCAAACTTATTATACGAAAGATCTAATTCTCTAAGATTTTCAAACTTTGCAAATGAACCATCAATGGATGATATTTGACAACGACTCAATGCTAATTCTTCTAATGATCTAGGAAAATTCTTCAAGTCTAAGAAACCCAATGGATTTTCATTCAAATTTAAATATTTCAACTTGATACAATCTGTTAAGCACAGTTTATCAATCCAAGTTGGTGAAATCTGATTACACCCCAAACTAAGAAACTCTAATTGTGTCGGAATAGTAGATATACTATTACTCTTTCCCAATAAATTTTTATCTAGAACTAATTGTTTTAAGTTATCTGGAAATTGCACAACTTCAGTCAACTTATTATATGACAAGTCAAGGAATTGTAATCTTTTGGGGAATTTAAAACCTGGTGATATCTCTGAGATTTTATTATGAGATAAATATAATGTCTCAATACCATTTGGTAACATTACATTATAACCTAGTATTTTAAAATTGTTTCCACATAGCTTTACTCTTACAAGCTTGAGTGGATTCCAAATAATAACCCTCAAAAGGGAGCAAAACAACATTGTTAATTCTGTCAATGAGTCAGGAAGAGTATATATAAATTCATTGGTATATTGTTCACCGCTAATATGAAGTTCACTAAGATTTACTAAATCTTTCAAATATTGTAAAATGTTAGTTGGCACTTTATTCAAAGTTAATTTTGTTATAGTTTGAGGAATTGATCCTATTATATTTAACAGGGGTACTTCACTGATATGTAGAATACTAAGTTTATCAAATTTAGTAGTTTCGAAATCAATCCAGAATATTTCATAGCTATTCCGTTCTCCTCGTATTCCTAACTCTGTTAATTCACTTGGAAATGTCTGTTTTTTCACCAACCATGAATTTCTTAAGTAAGTAGAAGGTAGAATCAAATGACGTAATGATTTAGGAAATGACCAAAGAGGGTCATAATAATGAGGTTTTCGAGTTAATCTTCCTTTGAATTGTAAAGTGGTTAATTTGGGACACATTGAAGCTAAATTTTTCACAAACATCATATTCACTTGTTCAACTTGAATATTGATGATACTTCCAGGGAGATTAAATACAACACGGGATAAACAATAATGAGAATATAACTCTAGAGTTTTTAAATTGTATGTTTCAGATATATCCAAAACATACTTCTTCTCAGCATTTTCATCTTCAACTGAAAGGTTAAGGAACAATGTTTGCAATGTGTCTGGGAGTTCCAATTCCGTTGTATGCATTTCAATAGGTTCTAAGTTACAATGGAAATTTATCAACTGTTGAGGTAGAAACCTAAGATCTTGTGGTTTAATAATCCTATCTAATCTTAAAGAAGTCAAAGAAGGAAATGTTTCCGATATGTTTCTTTCCAAACGATCATTAAAAGCATGAAGACTGGTGACATTTTGAGATACCTCAAACCATGGTAAAGGATCATCTGTAAATATGGGAAATCCAACCTCTATAGAATCAAATGAAAATGGATTATTCTTGTATTTTTTAAGAAACTGAGCCGTATTGGATTTATACATTTTTAATTGGTCAAAAATGAGTTGTATTTTCACGCCTTTCAAACATTCTGGACATTTATCAATCAATTCAAATACATCGAATGGGTTTCTGATGATCAAATTTTTCACAATAATAGATGGTTTGGATTTAAGTAAATCTAAATATGCTGATGGTGAATTAATTGAAGATTTATGTATTTCATAAAGTGGATCTAATGCAATCAGTGAATAATCAGAATCTTCAATGGTGACAGTCGAATACAAGGTTCTTAAAACAATGTCACCGATTTTGGGATAATCTTGAAGTTTAGATAATGTATAATTATCAAGATAACTAGCAATAGTCTCAACTAGCTCGTATGGCAAATCTTGAAACTCAGTCATGGTATCTTTTCTGTTACTATATATCAAAATCGAAGTAGTAAGAAAGATAAAAGAAAAGCTCACTGCTATTCAATATCATACGACTATTCTATTATAAAATCGGATCTAAGTTCTCCATTAACATGAAACCAGGGCTTCAAACAAAAGTTCAATCCTTAAAAAAAAAATAGAAATCCGAACAAAGCTGTTAAGACGACACCAGTGAAATAAGGTTTGATCCAATTAGATATCAGTCCAATAGACTGTGAAGGATTTTTTTTAAAAAAATAATGACACCGACGAGATTCGAACTCGCGCATCTTACGATAGTAGAAACCTCTGAATTAATCAGAAGAAGAAATCAAGTTCTTGAGTCTACCGCCTTAGACCAACTCGGCCACAGTGTCTTTTGTATGACTTCAAAATGTCATCTGCATTGACTAGTGTTCTTACTAGTAAGACAATATCTATCAATTTTGCATCACGTGATACATATTTGACATGACAAAATAATGCCATTTTTAATCTTCAATTAATATTTTGCGATATCAGACAGTTGTAAATAATTGTAATATTGGTAAAATTAATTTAAATATTGAAGCTATTCCTTGTTGTCCAATATTAATCAATATGTCTGTTTAGTGAAGAAATTGTTCGAAAATTTTATGAAAATAAAATAACGAGCTTATAAATTTTGTCCATATTGATTAGAAAATAATATGCTTTCATTCTTACACTGTCTCAAAAAAAGACTACTGGTAATGCTACATACTTTAGGACTTCTTAGAATATATACTAATTTTCTTGAGACACATGTCAATCGTGGGGATTAATATTCTGTGTACACAAATTATCTTGTCCATCGCTAGATCTGACCCCAAAGAAAACAAGCGAGAGATAACTTCGACAAAAGCCGGGCCAATCGTGCGCCCAAAATGAAGAACAACAACAAAAAAAAAAAATTTGAAAACAAAAAAAATTCTGTCAACTAACCAAAACCCACCAAGTCCCTTCATTATCAACATCAACAAAAAAAAAGTACAAACATAGTTATACTTCTGAAGTGTTGCATATATTTTTCATTAGGACAGCTCCACATCTATTTTCATCGTGACATACAGACACATCTTCATTTATTAGATTTATTTATCTTTAATTATTTATTTACATTTTTATTATTTTTTTCTTTTTCTTTTTGTTCTTTTTTTTTTTTTTGGAACTGTCATTCATCGTGAGGTTACATTCTATTTATTACCGACATTTATTTGTAGGATATGACGATACCATTCAAAATACCGATATCAGATTTAGACTATTGTCTTGAACAACTTTTGGAACATAAACCGCCAAAGATATTACCTCCAGATACCATTCAACAACTATGTCATACTTTGAAAACCGAGTTGTTATCAGTACCAAATATCATATCAATACAATCTCCAATATCAGTTGTTGGTGATATTCATGGACAGTTTCATGATTTATTGGAAATTTTTCAAATTGGTGGATCTCCACCAATGACTAATTACTTATTCTTGGGGGACTATGTTGATCGTGGCTATTATTCCGTGGAGACGATTTCGTTGTTGTTGGTTTTAAAGCTAAGATATCCTGAACGAATATTTTTAATCAGAGGAAATCACGAATCTCGTACAATCACCACAAATTATGGATTTTATACTGAAGTTTTAAATAAATATCAAGGATCAGCCGATGTTTGGAATTATATTACTGATTTATTTGATTATCTTCCCTTGGGAGCTACTATTGATGGTAAAATATTTGCATGTCACGGAGGGTTGTCGCCAAGTTGTCAACAATTGGATCAAATTAGAGCAATCGATAGATTTAAAGAAATACCACATGATGGAATAATGGCTGATTTAGTATGGAGTGACCCCGATATTGCTATTCTGGATTTCAAGTTGAGCCCTCGTGGAGCAGGATACTTGTTTGGAAATGATGTTATTGATAAATTTTGTAATGATAATAATTTAGTACAGATGATTCGAGCTCATCAATTATGTAATGAAGGTTATACTAGTTATTGGAAAGGAAAGTGTTTAACTGTATGGAGTGCTCCTAATTATTGCTATAGATGTGGTAACCGTGCCAGTGTACTTGAGATTTTGCATTCAAATTATGAGAACAAAAATGGCTTAGAGGAAGATGATAAGGAAGAAGACGCGTTCAATGATTATGATTTAGATTCATTCAAACTGATTGGGAATGAATATAAAGATTTCAAGAGCCGATTCAATAATGGTTCTAAATTGCATAAACAACAAGGGGTGTTACCAGGTCAATTTTTCAATATCTTTGAGGCGTCCAAGGAGAATGACGAAGATACTATTCAAGGTAAAAGTGTGAATGGGATTAATTTTGATGACGAATATTTGATCAAAAATGGTTCTAATGGTGATTTCTTTGCTTCATTTTTCCAAGAACGCCCTACACGTACACATGTTGAATACTTTTTATGATGATGATTTTAATTTAGTTTTGTTTTCATTTCTTGTTCATGACTGACGTATTATTCCATTTTTTTTTGTTGTTGATTTCATTTTGTTGATTTCTATATAGAGTTTTTTTTTATTTATCGTTAATTTTGTAATATTTAATTTCTAATCATCAATCAACCACTCATCCATAATATAGTTCGAAATTAAAGCCATCGTGCACTTCATAATCCTCTAAAGTGATATGATCTTTGTATACTTGGTAACCTTTTTTTAAGATGAGTTTCTCTGCTGGAGTACCAATTTGTAAAGCCAATATTTTCTTTACATCACCAATAGTATCTGTGGGTAAGCATTTAAGTTTTATCTTTTTACCCAATCTATCATTTGCCTGTATTTCAATCATTTTCTGGTGCTGTTGTATTCGTTGTGAATGGAAGCCCTGTATTATTTGCAACACTACTGGTTGTAAATGGGGTGGTGATTTTTTCTTTTCTTACTGAGACAACACACTTTTGGTTGTAAGAATGAATATTTTCGGGATCAGGTACACGTCTTCTCTCTTTTTTTTTTGCATAACCAAAGCAAAGCAAAAAAAAAAAAATGGACAATCCCAGCCAAAATGGAAGTCGAAGTCGAAGTCGAAGTGCAATTGACTACGGTACACTCCAAATAGACAACACTCGTGCATACTACACAACCAATTATACATTTAGCTGTAATTATTAACAAACCATTACAACAGCTAGTTACCAACCATCCATTCAACCATCCAATCACTACCAACAAACGAGACAAAACGTACAGGGTTGATTTAACTTCATATTTGTTTAACTTTATTATTTACAGAGAAGCAAAAAGACAAAAAGAAGAAATCCGCCTTAAACACAATTTTTTTTTTTTTTTTTTTTTTGTAATTTGCTTTTTGTTTTATTTTGGCTTTTTAAAAATTTTAAAACTGTAAATCAAATCAATTAAAGGAAATCAAATTTTCATAAACCTTTTAAGAAAAAGGTCTATTTTTACTTTTTACAATAGGCAAACATAGAACATTACTTACTTACTCAGTCACATCCACGTATACTAATCCTATTGAATTTTATATCTTCTTTGAAATATTATAGAACCAGTCCATCCTTTTTTTTTCTTTTCCCACTTTCCCCCTCCAAATTAATCCATCCTAATGTCTAATTCACCTATAACGCCGGATGGGCCAGATAAACCAAGTAATGTACTGACAGACCCACTAACAGCACCTGTTGGTGCCAATCAATTGAATAATGTCGACAGTACAACAACTACTCCCACGGCACATCCACATAGAGTTTCATTTAGTGATAGTAAACCAGTTACCACTCCAAATTCAAGAAAACCTTCACTATTGCGCAAGGCGTCCCTGAATAATGTTCTGCCACACGATCATGAGAATAAACAACGTCCCATACTATCCAATAGTAACAATAGCAGTACCCATAGTATCCATAAAATTGACACATCAACCTCACGTCCAAACCATATAGCTATCTATCAGAACAATAATACGGTTGATGGAGAACTCAAATCATTGGACAAAACTACGCTTTCTCCTTCGGCCACAAATGGGAAACATTTTAATTTATCAATACCCCCATCTAGATCAAGAGATAAATCACCTGCTGGAAGTATAAGTGGAAGTAGCAGGTCTAGATCATCATCCAATAAGCTTCATAGTTCTGCCACAGGTGCCACAAGTAGCCATTCAAATTCATTATATGTCGCCCAAGAGAAGGCATATTTGCGTAAGATGAGAAACCAACAAGATAATGATTATTATTCCAAGGGTATATCTGGAGCCAATGAACCGCAAGCAGAAAACGAAGAAGAGGAGGAGGATGAGGAAGATTTATTAACCGTAGAAGGTGGTGACAATGCTAATCTACTTGCTGCTATTGATGATGACAAGTACCAGATTGACTACAGTATAGCATTGTCGTTGATGAAGAATTCCAATGTTAATTTACGCAAGATAGCTAATTTAAAATCAGATGAGACCGATGATCCCGCTGTGATTGAACGTTTGGAATGGCAATCAATGCTTACGTCAGTTTTGACTGGTGATGTGGTCAAAAGTGAAAAGACAAAAATTATCAACATCAACAACCCCGATAGTACACAGGATTCTTATGCCCATTCTACTTTCAAGGACAATTTGTGGTTTGGAATTAGAGCTAAAATGTTTCATCGAACTGAAGATGAACAACGTAAGGTGGTTGGTTACAGAAGAACATTGGTTGACCAATTGATTGATGATATCATGCTGTTTGAAGTTGTCTATGATAACGTGACGCAGAACCCAATTAGAGAGCAAGTACAGAAGGTGTTAGATAGATATGATCAAGCATGCAGTTTATGGAAAACCGCCGAGGATATGTATAATGACAAACCGGCATGTCGCAGTGAAGAATTCCAAAATAGAATTGATGCATTGACAGCTTGGGTTACAATTACTGATGCTATTTCTAGAGAAACCAAATCATTACGTCTTTGGATTGGTAACGATGAGTTGGATATCACAAAATCACCAGTTGAAACCCCATCTGCCGAGCCATCATTATCTGCCTCATCCTCCGTAAGTTCAGATTCTTCAAACAGTAAGATTGTCAAGAAAATATTTGATGATGATAACAAATCACTTGCCGAACGTTTAATGAAAGAGAAGGATGTTCAAACGATTTTCAGAAAAAGAGTTTTTAACCCATTGTCTCCATGGATGATAAAATCTAAAGACACGTATATTAGATTGGGAAGTATGTTTGAGACAATGAAACTACCTGATTATTTGCATGATTTGTTGCAAATATGTATTATACCTGTTAAATTGATCAAAGAGATCATTATTGTACGATTAAGTTATGCTGTAAAATTACAAAACCCCACTTTAATGATGATAGACCAGATGCTTGAAGATTTTGAATCTTATACAAAGATTGCATTAGAAGTTAAGAGTGGGTTACTGGAATATAAAAGACCAGATAAAGATTCCAAGTGGCTTTTGAGTGATTTGTTTGATGCTGAGCTCCAAGATTTCGACAATGTTGTTTTGAAGAGTGTACGATACTACTTGGTATTACTTAACAGGAAACTTTTAGATAGTTCCAGATCTCCAACCACATTCAGAACATTTAAAGAACCAGAAGTTTTAGAAGGTGCGTGGGCATTCTTAAAACCTTTGGGTCATTCTATTGATGGTGGTAGTGTCGTAGTTGCCGAAGAAATCACTCTTTTAGCACTGAGACTTATCCACAGATTACTGGCGTATTTCAACCATCAAATAAGAGAACCCGCATATACGGGTCAGGAACAAGATTTGATTAGATGGTATACTTCGACATCTGAGAATTTTGGTCAATTGCGCCGTAAACTAGCCAGATTTACTGGTGAAATTTCCAAGAGTTTTAATAACTCTATATGCTATGAACTCCCCAGCCAAGCGGATGGTACTAAAACTTTGTTGGATATTTTATTAGCCACCAACCATTTCTTAGTTTATACTGGAACTGTTGAAACTCAAGGGACTTATTTTTTTGCCAGTTCTGAGTTAATGGGAAATAAACTGGAGATTTTAAGAATATTAAGCGGGTCTTATGTTGGATTGGATTATAGTACTGAACAACTGCATTTCACACGATTATTAACTTTGATTCAACCGGATACCACGGGCCAGAGTTCTTTTGCTAGTAGTCATTTCGAGCCAGAGCCATTTAATGATCCTGAAACCGAGTATGCTTATGTATTAGCATTATGTCCTATGAAACCAATTGTTTGGGAAGGTCAAGTTGTCCATGTAGACATTGATTCTGTACCAATAACCGATATGAATAATGGTCAATTGGTGGTAATTTCCAAGGTTCCTTATTTTAATTTAGATGTGATTGGAGAAAGATTCCTTGACTTGATTGCTGATGTATCTGGAGGTAACGCTGGTTTGAAATTAATTGAAACCAGATGTTCGTTAGCTAAAGTGCAACAAGAATTAAAGAAGATGAATCGAGCTTTTTTCAAAATGTGTTTATCAGTACTAGATGGGGTACAAATTGTAAAGAATAAAATCTATGAGCTTGATCCACAAGGCGAATATCAATCATTGATTAATACTTATTTCATATATGCCCGTGACCATGGCAAGAATTATATCAGGGGATTGGATCCACAACGAAAACCCATTGTTATTATGAGAATGATTCAATTATCTATTGACTGGGTGAGTTTTATTTGTGACGATTGTATTCCAACCGATAGAAAAACATTTAGATGGTGTGTTTTGGCGTTGGAATTTGCCATGGATATGATTCGTGGGATTAATATTTTCCTATTATCTGATCAACAATTTAGAATATTGAAGATGAAAGTCGCAAGATGTATGTCATTGTTGATATCACATTTTGATATCATGGGTGCAAGATCTAGTGAAGCAGAGAAGAATAAATTATTGAAATGGTCTTCACAACGTCATAATATCAGCACTTCTCAAAACGATGATGAATATATGCGTAAAGCTTATCATGATGAATTGATGGGACAAATTGAAGAAATTGAAAACTATAGAAACGAATTGCTGGAAGAATTGCAATCTGTGGGTAGAGTTTTAGATGTGAGTGATCTGGAATATCATTTTGTTACGCTATTAGCTTCATCATTCTCAAGTGTTTCTATTAGATGGCAAAAGGGACAATGTATCGGAAGAGGTACGTTTGGATCTGTTTATTCTGCTGTTAATTTGGATACTGGTGGTGTAATGGCTGTTAAAGAGATTAGATTCCATGATAGTCAATCGATCAAAACAATGGTTTCCCTGATTAAAGAAGAAATGACTGTTTTGGAAATGTTGAATCATCCAAACATTGTTCAGTATTTCGGGGTTGAAGTTCATCGTGATAAAGTTTATATATTTATGGAGTTCTGTGAAGGTGGTTCACTTGCGGGATTATTAACTCATGGTAGAATTGAAGACGAAATGGTTATCCAAGTGTACACTTTACAAATGTTGGAAGGTTTAGCTTACTTACATCAATCTGGAGTTGCTCATAGAGATATTAAACCAGAGAATATATTGTTGGATCATAATGGTGTTATCAAGTTTGTTGATTTTGGTGCTGCTAAAGTGATTGCCAATAGTGGAAGAACTAGAAGTGGCACAGCCAACCTTTCACTTCGTAGATCCATTCAAAGTAATAATGGTGGTAGCAATGGTCAACAACAAGAAGATAATTTGAATTCTATGACGGGTACACCAATGTACATGTCCCCAGAAGCTATTACTGGTGCTGCCACAGAAAAAAGTGGAGTTGTTGATATTTGGTCATTGGGATGTTGTGTTTTAGAAATGGCCACAGGAAGAAGACCATGGGCTAATTTAGATAATGAATGGGCTATAATGTACCATATTGCAGCTGGCCATAAACCACAGCTTCCATCTCCAGAACAATTGAGTCAAGAAGGTAGAAATTTCTTGGCCAGATGTCTTGAACACGATCCAGCAAAGAGACCAAGTGCTGTTGAGTTATTATCTGATCCATGGATGGTTGACATTAGGCAACAAGCATTTGGTACTTCTGATCTAGTAACTACACCATCATCTGAAATATCAGGTCCTATTCCTGAATAAAACTGAATGAATGAATATATATATATATATATATATAATATAAAAGATGTATATTTACAAGATTGCCACCTTCTTCTCTCTATGTGCCAGTTTTAATTTACGTATTTATCTAAAACTTCTTTAACTTCTTTAACAACATTACCTTTAATATTTAAAATGCCAGCAGTTGTATTCATAGTAGTTTCCAATTTCACACTATCATCACCAATTAATTTCAATAAATCAGAACGGAATTGGATTAAATCACCTTTAATTTTTCTAATTTCTGTAATTTGTTTAGTATTTGAAATCTTTAAATATACTGGCCAATGATTATATTTTGATTTAGGTATAAAATAATTTCCTTTACCAAATCCATTATTTGGTAAATTTGAAGATTTAATTTGATCAAGACTTGGGAATTTATAAAGTTGAACTTCTGGTTTTGGTGCTTTTACAGCATATCGTGTTAATATACTTGTTGGTCTCATTATTTAATCTATTAGTTGATTGAACTACTACTAGTGGTTGGTATTGATTGGTTGATGAATGAAAAATTTTCCCCTTGTAGATTTTTTTTTGTTCCATTTCGCACGCCAATTATTAAATAAGGAAACAAAAAAGTCGTGTATAAATGTACAGAGATATGTATGTATATAAGGAATAATTTTGCAACTATGTATACTTTGGGGACTAATGAGACCATAATCTAATCATTTTATCTTTACCACCAGAAGCGACTCTTTTACCATCTAAACTCCAATCAACAGCATAGACTTCATCAGCATGCCCAGGTAAATCAACACTTAATTTTTTAGTTCTAATATCCCAAACTTTTAATGTGGTATCTTTGGAACAACTAACTAATAATCTATTATCAGCAGACCAAGCAGTTTGATAAACTGGAGCAACATGACCTCTAAGAGTACTTATAAAAGTACCTCTTATACCATCCCATAATTTAATTGAATTGTCAAATGAACTAGATACAACATATCTTCCATCAGGTGAGAAATTAACATGATTAACTAATTTTTGATGACCCGTCATTCTTAATATTGGTTTTGAAGATTTTAAAGGTTCCCAGAAATACATTGTAAAATCATCACTTGCAGTAACTAATCTTTCAGTGATAACACCATTTAATTTAGCTACTTTTTCATAATTTTGTAAAGCACGAGATCTTAATTCTTCAGGAGAATATTCTGTACTTCTTGTAGTTGTATGATCAAATCCACCTTTACGTAAAACATAATCTGTTGATAAAGATAAATGATTAACCCAATGAGCATGACTTTTCAAAGTTTGAATACATTTACCATTAGCTGAAATATCCCAACTTTTAATAGTTTTATCATGTGATGCACTATAAACAATATTTGAACCTGACCATTTAACACAACTAACTGCATTAGTATGTCCACTCATTGTTAAAACACAATTTCTACTAGTAGTATCCCAAACTTTAATTGTGCCATCTTTAGATCCAGATACTAATCTTGGTTGATCATTAACTCCAACTAAATGTAAAGGTTCCCAACTTAATGAACTGACCCATTTAGAATGTCCAACAAGTGGTTTACCTAAAGATTTCCCAGTTTTAGCATCCCATAATCTAATAGTATTATCCATAGATCCAGTTGCTATAATTTTCCCATCAGGTGAATAAGTTACACATAAAACCCAATTAGTATGACCACTTAAAGTAACTAATGGAGTTTGAGTATTACAATCCCATATACGAGCAGTTGAATCCCCAGCTCCTGAACACATACGACTTGAATCATTTGGAGAAAATGCAATACATAATATAGTTGATCCATGACCTGCTATAGCTGCATTTGATCTAGTTATTGGTTTAACTTTAAATATAGCTCTTGGAGTATAAACTAAAGTTAAAAAATCTTCAGTTGTTTTAATACCTGGTTTTAATACTGAATGATATAAATTATCTTTAATATCAATTAATTTATCATTATCTTCTGAATTTAATAAAGAAAATGTATATGGTACTGGATCATCTGATTCTCCTTGTAAATTATTTAATAATTCTTCTAATTGTTTTTCAGTAATTCCTCCAGGTACTCTAATTGAACCTCCTGTTGATTCACCAGTATCTGATGCTTGGAATTTTATAAGTACATTTGGTAAATCTTCAGGTATTAAATCTACTTCTCTGACTTTCTGAGCTTCTCTTTTTTGCTTCTTAGAAGGTGGTGGAATAACAGTAGCCATGGGAGTGTATGTGTTGTTAGGTTATATATTGAAGAAGAGCAAATTGAAAAATTTCTACAAAAAAAAAAAAAAAAAAAATTAAAGTGTGAGATGAGATGTGGTTGATAAATAATCAATGATGTTTTACCACTTGAGTACAAAAATCGTATATTTAGTTCTTTGAGGTATTCACAGTTTTAATAAAAGAACTATCACCTTCTTTATCTGAATCTTCAATTATTTCATTATCAACATCCGTGTCAGTATGATCAGGGACAGCTTTGTTTGGAATCGTCAATAAACCACCATCCATGTCATTACCATCTAATACTGTATATTCATCAACATTTGGAGATGATGAAATAGGAGGTCTTTCTTCAATTATTTCTGATAAATCACGAAGAGAATATTTTCCATCGAAGTTATCATGGGTGCTATTCTCATAGTAGAATTGACTATCAATATCAAAATATACCGAAGGTAGACTTTTATTCTCTACAATAACTTCAGCAACGTAGACTAATTTTAATTGTGATTTTTCAATTGTAATAAGTTTAGGTTTTCCAATAACTTGTTGACTTTTTCTAAATTGAGGTGAATTATGATACCAATCTTGATAGAATAGAATTTTCAAATCATTTAAATTTTTATGAATATTAAACGGAGATAACACAACTCTACCTTTATCAGTAAATGATTGAAATGAAGTAGATTCAATCAGATCTTGACTTTTAGTTTTATAAGGTCGAAATTTTGTATCTAAATAACCTAGTAGAAAAATCAAGGCATTTTCATGAAGACATTTATTCCTTAAATTTGAAATTAATGATGCCACATGAGATTCATATTTTATTATAGGACTTGTTTTTAATAAATCTGTATTTTGAGGTAGTTGTGGTATTGGTTTTGGATCAGTAGTTGATGATTGTTTATTTTCTATAATTGTATCATTAACTTCAATATGATGTTTCAAAATCATATCTTCATAAATTGAAGATAATTCCAATTTATACATTTTTAATAATTCATGAAATTCATTAATTATAACCATAGTATTTGTTTCAAGATTACATTTAATTAAAAATCCATATAATTTAGCAAATGAATCAAGTTTATAATGAGTGATATTTTTCAACCACGATTCTTCATATTCAGGTTGTTGTTTAAGAAAATAAAATGGAAACTTAGTCAATGTATCAATTATCAAAACCGGTTTATTATCTTTCAAATGGGATGATATTAACGAAATTAAAACAATGTACATGCCATTACAACTTGGTGATGATTGGAAATCATAAATTCTTGACTTCACTTGTGTCTGATGTAGAATATTATCCAATGTTGGTATTGACGTGGATAAATTACCATAAGCTTGTTGCAGTTGTATGATATTCTCTAACAATACCATAACGAATGATGTTGATTCCCTGTTTAGTAATAGAGTGATCTAGTTGTTGATGATGATGATGATATCAAAGCAACGCGTCGTTTATTCATTTTTGTTTAACTCTGTCGAGTCGTGTAAATACCACCAATAATACACAGCCAGAAGACGAAGGTATCTTGGTGTGGTATTGACGTTGAAGAGTGTTATTCTTTTTGAAGAATCACGATGTTCATACATATCTCTATAGTAATCAAAAATAGGTCTTAAATACAATAAAGTAAAATACATATATTAAAAACAAATTAACTATGCTAGAATATACAATGTAGTTAACCATTGGAATTCCAGCAAGTGTGATGCAGTAAAAGACGTGGGTCACTATACCAATCAACTGCTGGAATGCCAACGTAAATATCCAAAAACTCCCATTAGCTAGATTTAACAAGTTATTTGCTTCAGATTATCCACGATGCATTGCCTCACTCTAAAACGTAAACTGAACTCATAGTAACTTAAAAGTTCCCAGAATAAAAAGAATAAATGAAAGAGAAAGGAAGAATACGGGAAATTATTCCCCTTTTTATAGGCCAACAATTAAACACCCCTTTCCCATTTCTCCTTTCCCCTTTCTTATCCCAACCTCAGCACCTGGAGATTATTGTTAATTAGTTGGGCGGATAGATACTTTAGTTTACAACAGACACGACCCGTAGTCAGTGGCATTTCCCATATATTATTAAACATGAACCATTAACAAACCTTTAAGAAGATAATTTATCATTGCATATATTTGTGTTGTTGAACACGTAGAATATTGATACATACTCTAATACTGCAGTTAGAGTGGAGTAGTGCCTATAGTTGCAAAACAGAATCACATGACCAAGATCACGTCTAAAACAGTCAACATATCTTAACAACTTGATAAGGAATCACGATTTTCCAATTTCAGAGGACTATGGATAGAGGCTGGTTATTTCTATATTGTGAATTAATGCATAGCTCATTAATGAAGTAACAACAATTCAATACTTGGAATTAGAAACAGTCAAGTAATCAAAAAGGTACGATGATATTATACTTTTTTTCTTTGTTAAATATCTCTATCCATTTATGTACATAATTTATTACAATTCTTTACCGACTTCAATGATTGAATTAATTAAATCATCGATAATTTCATTTGTTAAAGTAGGAGAATTGAAAACCACCCGGAAGAATTCTCCTTGAGAATCATCGACTGGATTCGGACTAAAATCAACCAAATATTTACCCAACTTGTGTAATTTTCTTGATATGAATCTTGTTATTTCAGTATTATCTCTAGTTGATACACTCGGAGGATGATAATAGAAACAAACTTGAAGACATTGTGGAGATTGAGGTCCAACTACTTTAAAATCATCGTTGCTCTTGATTTTATCAACAAAATATTCCATTATTTTATATGCGTGATCAACTCTCTTTGCAAAACCTTCTTTACCATAATATAACCAACCCAAATAGAATTTAAATGCATCACTTCTTCTACCACATCCCATAGTACCATCAGCAAGATCATAATTTTCATCATCTCCCAGTTCTCTACCATGGAACAAATATGGAGCTTTCAAAGACATGGCAGTTTGGAAATTAGATACATCTGGTAATAATAAAAATGAACAAGTATTTGGAATACCTAACATTTTATGAGGATTAACTGTAATGGAGTCAGCATATTGACAGCCATTTAATCTATTCTTATATTTCTCAGAAAATATGACATTACCTCCCCAAGATCCATCAATATGGAAATGAATGTTGTGTTTCTTTGCAATTTTGCTAATTTCAACAAATGGATCATATGAACCAAAAACAGTGGTACCAGCAGTAGCATTAACATATAATGGAGTATAACCATCAGCTTTAGTTTTTTCAATGATAGCTTCCAATTCTTGAACATCCATTACACCATCTTCATCAACGTTAACTTTAAAGACATTTTCTGCACCCAAGCCGAGCAATATAGCAGCTTTTTCAACAGAATAATGAGAATGCTTACTACTATATATGGCAAACTTATAACCAGCATTACCTTTAGTTTTAGTATCTGGATATTTCAAAGATCTAGCCAATTGCAAACTAGTAATATTTGACCAAGACCCACCACTAAAAGTCAATCCACCGCAGGTTTCGTTCTCATAAAATAAACTAGCATATTTCTTACCAATATAATTTTCAAGTACTGATAATACTGGAGAAACAGTATAAACATGAGAATTTGTATTTAACATACTCAATAAAATATCAGAAATCACACCAATTGGATTATTTGAAGCATATAATTTATCCAAAAATCCAGGATTCCAAGTATTAACAGAATATTTTAATACTTTATCAATGATTTCAAACAATTTAGTTTCAGAACATGGCTCATCTAAATTATCATCTTGAATGAATTCTTGTTTCAAAAATTTAGGTTCATGGAACGTTCCCAAGGATTGAGGATTATAATTTGATGATTTTGGATCTGCTTCATCAATATAAGCAAGCAAACGAGGCTTTAATTCAGTTAATAACTTATCCAACTCTTCAGCAGTATTCATTGTGGATGGTGTTCAATTAGGACTAGTTTGGAATTAAAGTTGTTGGAGGAAAATGATTTGTTAAAATTTTTCATTAAAGTTTTTTTTTTTTTGGTTCCGAATCCCGTTGCGTAATTATGCAGCAGCCACAGTTTTTTTGCGGCACAACGGATCGAGCTACAACATCATCACCGAATCAATGAAAACTAGAGTGTTGATACTCAAATATGATACACTTCTGGCGGAATATTTTTGACTAGGAATGATAAGTCTACAACTATACTTTAGATATTGGGGATTCTTTCAAACAAATCATAGAAATACTTCAAATAATAGTGAATATAACAAGAAAAAATCATGATTACGTACTAATGTAAAAACAGAAATATAATAATTGTCTTAAATAACATTAAATAAACCAAACAAAGAATACAATAACTAAACTAATTAATGGTATTTTGATAATGTAAGACGAATTTTCAACGATGGTTACTGTTGGAGTAGCAAACAATGAAGAACCTGAAATAATGGCAGATGTAACTGTCGTTTGCTGTTGTAACAAGGTACCAGTACTTGTGTGTACTTCACCTTCACCACCTGCTTTCAGGGCATGTTCAACTGTTTGAGCAGCGACAGTGGTTTGGGAAGTTTGAATTAAAGTTGACTTTCTTTCTCCTCCAGTTTGCACACCACCTGTGGATAATGCTAGAGTACTAGTTGTAGATTGCTTAACAATTGATACAACAGTTGTTTTACCACTGGTAGTTGTTGGTTTAACTTCATTGGTAGTTTGATGTTCTTCACCAGATAGTTGAGCACCTCCAGCAGACTCAACTTTAGTAGTCAAATGTTGGCCAGCAGTTTGAATATTGCCAGTAATTGTAACTGTTTCAGTTTGAGCACCAGTGGTTTTTTTGCTAGTTGGTATAGTTAAACCTTTAGTAAATGTAACTTCACCAGTTTCAGTTTGTACTCTAGTTTCACCTTGTATGGTTGTAACTGTTGTACCAACACTCTTCGTAGACACCGCATTTATAGTTTCCGGACCTGTACCAGTAAAAGTTACAGGAACATTGCTTTGTGTGAAAGTTGTCAAAGTAGTGTACAAAGTGTCGGTTTCACTTATAATGGCACAAATAGTTTTAGTTGTTCCCATAGTATTGGTAACAGTACAAGCTGTGGTGTACTCAATTTTAATGACAGATTTTGTTACAGCTTGTGATTCATTTGGTGTTGGTTCAGTAGAAGCTACTTGAATACTTTCACTTGATGATTGCAATGTGGGTTTTACTTCAGACGTTGGTTCTTTTGTTGGACTTGATATAACAGTCTGGCCACTTGACGATTTAAATTTTGATGACTCTTCAATTGAAGATGGCACTTCCATAGTCGATGTTATTTCAGCTGAAGATGATACTGTAACTGTAGATGACTCTTCAATAGATGACAATTCTTCTTTTGATGACGATAATATTTCAATGGAAGTCGATACTTCTATTGATGAAAGAACTGATGATAAAGTTAATTCACTGGAAGATGGTTCGACAACTGTTATTTGACTTGACTCTTTGCCTGATGATGGCTCAATAGATGGCGAAGATACTTCAATACTGGAACTCAACTCAATGGAAGATGATGAAGGTGAAGACGATGATTGCTCTTGTATTGATAAAGAAGATGACTCTTCTAATGTTGAAGATTCTTCAATGGATTTGGTTTCCGATGGTGATAATTTTTCACTAGCAGAAGATGTTTCAGTTGATGAAAATTCTGAAGATGATGACTCAAAGGAAACAGATACCGTAGATTGCGATTCAGATGGTAATTCACTTGATGATAATTCAGCAGAAGTGGAGACTTCACTAATGGAGCTCACCTCAATTGATAAAGAGGATGATTGCTCTTCTACTGACGATTGTTCTTGAGAAGATGTAAATAACAGTTGACTAGTAGTTGAATCTTCAACAGATGAAGTTACTTCTGTAGATTCAATTTCGGAAAATGATGACTCAGTTGATAATGATTCAGAGGAAATGGAAATTGATGATGTAGATTCAGATGTAGATTCAGATGTAGATTCAGATGTAGATTCAGATGTAGATTCAGATGTAGATTCAGATGTAGATTCAGATGTAGATTCAGATGTAGATTCAGATGTAGATTCAGATGTAGATTCAGATGTAGATTCAGATGTAGATTCAGATGTAGATTCAGATGTAGATTCAGATGTAGATTCAGATGAAGAAGACTCTGCCGAAGTAGGTGTAGTTGACGAGAACGCAGATGATGTAACCACCTCGCTGCTGGAACTAGATTTAATTGAGGAGGAAGTATGATCAGATGTTGAGATTTTACTTGTTGATGATGATTCAATAGAGCAAATATCATCAAATGAAATAAACGAAGTGGTAGTAAACCAAGAACCTTCTCCATCAGTTGTAATATCGACAACACCTGTTGCAGTTATATCAGACCCATCACACGCAGTGGTTGTGATTTCTGTGGTGAACTGTGTAGGCTCGTTTCCTGGGGCTTCTGGAGGAACCTTGCATTGAATTTGACAAGCAGCAGGTAAATCACGTTTGGGAACTGGTCCAGTATATTTAACACTGTTGTTTTCATAAAGAATAACTCCACCTTTATTTGTCACAACCTCAAATAAATCAGGATCATACCCTTGTCCAATATGGAAAGTTTGGGAAACCAAAGCAAACCGTAAAGTCAAGATACCGGTTGTAGAATTATACTCAAATGGTGGTAAACCAACTCCGTTAAGAGGCACAACTCCACCAATTGTGTTACCATTACCAAAACCATAAACGTTAAAATTCTTAGGAGGAGTCAGAAATGAAGATATAATTGCTGATTCACCATCAACTAAGTATAAACTCTGGTTTTCTGAAAACTCATGGTTTCCAGGAAAGTAGAGAAGTGAATTTTCTTGAGCAGTAATACACCCAGAACCGTCAATACCATATTTCACTTGAAAGATGTTATTGAAAACACAGACATTTCCATTGTTATTCTTTATTCCACCTCTATCTCCAAAAAAAGCCAATCCTGAAGTTCTTTGCTTTTGATAAAATACTATTAAATTTTCATTGTCGAAGTCTTGAGCATCTATATTCATAAAGGTATCTCCAATACCAGAGTCACTTAGAAACAATTCACCATTATTGGTAAATTTTTGAACTAGAAAATGATGACTAGATTTTTCCGAAGAAGCTTGGGAATTAAATGAAATAATCCCATTGTTTTTAACAATTCCAGTATCAGAGGACACAAGAATATCAAGGGGGGTCGAAGAAGATGTCTGGGTGATATAAAAACCAGCATTTGTCTGAACTTCAAGGGATCCATCTATTGAAAATTCTTTTACATCGAAAATAGATAAGTAGAAGTTTGAAAAAATGGCAGTATCACCATAATCAATTTTATTAATACCACGTACAACAGTATTTTGAGTAATATCCATGGAGACTACCAACTGAAAGAACAAAAATGCACCAAAGAGTAAATAAAGCATCGTGTTAATGGTTGTCAACTATGATTTGTAGGTATATATAAAATAGAAATCCAAAAACAAAAGATTCATCTTATGGAGTTCAACATAGGTATATATATAATATACTTAGAGCTTGATATTGGGGATTTAAATTAGTTCATTTCTTAACCCCTATTAATGTTCAATAAATAATTTTGAACCCACTAGTATCTTTCTTGAGTTCAGCAAAAGTTTACGAATTTTCAATTGTTTGCGTTTAAAGACTATTAAAGTTTAGAGAAATATAATAATTATAATAATATACCACCATATTGAACAAAACATTCTGGTTATATTTTAAAAAATAAAATGATGATCTTTGTTTAATGAATTTGATAAAAGGTACTTACTAAATGGTGCCTATTGTGCATCAGGTGTAATCTATTTTTAGTTCCATTATTATCGCTAATTTAGAGTCTATTTTTAAATCCCCTTGTCCAATTGTTTAATTGTTGTTGTGCTCCTTAAACAAATTCATGAATATTTTCACAGAATCACTCATCGTGCTTCGTAATTTTGATGCTTTGAGGAAATTAATAAGTAACTAATACGGCTTAGATAAGTATTCGTAAATTTAACTGGCAAGAAATTTATATTGAATCATCGAGGCTCAAGAGTGAACTTGATGACGAGGCACTCTACCGTTTGATTGTATAATTACGTCTACATTCTCTCAGAGATTTGTTTTATTTTGCCTGTTGATCAAAATCTAATCTTTTTTGTAATCAAAATAGGTAGAAAAATTATCAGTGATGCAACAGAATTTTGGTAACAACACTTTTGTGAATCTATTATCTGTAGGATTAATGAAAATGGGCATATAGGAAGTTTTCCTCCATTGTCTTATTTTGTGTGAAAATTACCACACAGTATTATTATTTGTAGGTTAACATAAATTGAATACAAGGAACTCATACATCAAACAGTGAAATATCACTGGAATTGAATCAAAAGAACCTACATTTTTAATTTTAGTTTTGGCTTAAAAGTATTGTACTCTCAAAATGCAATTTAACCCCAGTATGAATGCTCATTACCCCTTAGTTCAAACTTTGCTCTGTTATCTCTATTATATTTCACTTTATGTTCTTATTAAAATATATACAAATTTTCAATGTACCTAACCGGTAGGTAATCCCTAATTTTCTGTATATTTCAACTAACGGCTGTTTTAAATACATGAGTTCCATTCAGTGCAATTATGGACCGCAACACTCCCAACCAATGTAGTGTGCCTACCAAAAATGAAGTATGAATTAATCACAATGAATTCCTACAATCTTTTGACTAATTACCAAATCATGGTGTTTGAGTAAAACATCCCAAACCCGACGGTATTAAATAATCAGAATCGTGGATTTCAACTTGGTTCTTTTTTTCCTCCATTCTTCAAGCTCTTACCGTTCATGTAGACCTTCCTAATTCATTCGATTACATAATATCATCTATTTTTAGAAAATACAATCCAGAATTGGTTTAGAATACCACATGTCTCCTCTTCTTTGGATGGAGCTGATTTTTCCATACACCACACTGAACCATTCTTCAAGTAGTGTGGAAGTACCAGTCATGGTTGTTGAGTATTTCATTCTAGTATACTATGGTGTTAGTAACAAGAAACACTCAAGAGGGCCATGTAAATGTATTGCTGATCGTATAATTGTGATAACAATTTACGAATAAACTGTTTTATTAGATCTACTCCACATACTATCTCGTAATGACGCACAGCCTCTGTTTTATCAATTACAAATAGCATGCTTTTTCATTGATTAGCACCCATAAATGTGTATTCTTTTTTCTGAAATAATATATTCACCAAATCTGTTTGTAGTCACCATGAATATATCTGATCTTCCAGTGGAGATAATCAAGATAATTTTTGATTTTCTTCCCAATGAATATTTGGTCCAACTTATCGATATACCCTGCATCAAGAAGTACACAATTTCATCATTTTATTCAACCATAATAATCAGCGGTTCATGGCATATAATTCTGCATTTTCCAACGGTTTCAAATGGAATTCCAGTTTTTAGAAATGCATACAACTATGTTTACTTCCTTCAATTGAACCCAAAACTTTCACCAAGAAAGGTAATAATTCAAGAACCAACAGAAGCCATTGTTTTGCTTAATGAGTTCCCCGAAATCGTTGCGAGATCAAAAGTTGAAATAAATATGTCGGGTAATGAATTAATGTGCACTGATGATATTTCCAAGATACTTGATATAATTTCTTCGGAATCATTATTCAGTAGTCTAAAACTAGAATTGAATTTGAAACTATCATATGCTAATTTTAAAGCAAATATTTCACAGAGATTAACTTCTTTGGCTCTCACTGAAGGATACGGTTTGGAAAAATTGTCCAAGTCTACCAGTTTGACAACTCTTTCAGTTAACTATTTCTTGACTGCATCCGACATCAAGCACATTCCACGTCAGTTACAAAACCTTAAATGTAGTTTCAAGATTGAAGATAGCATTAACTTTATGGCATCTATGAAATGGAAACTGCCCCTATCATTGAGAACGTTGCATATCAGGGAAGCACAATATGATGGGTCAAAAGTTTTGGTTGTTGATATTTCACATTTAAAAGTACTTCAAAAATTCACTATTGAAGAGTATGATTCAATAAATTGTAAATGGGTGTATCCAAAATGCTTAGAAAGCTTTACTTGTTCTTCAGCAAGAATGGTTCCAAGAAATTTGGCAGTGAAACTACCAGAATTATCAAAATTATCAATAGAGAATACTGATGGATATTCCAAAGTTCTTAAATTTATGGCTAGTACATTTCCACCTACTTTAGTTTCATTGGACATTTCACTGGATATATTAGCACATGATAATTATGCGATACAATTGAACTATCCACAGAAAGAAAACACAGATACGAATCTTACTGTTAATTCTTGGGAACTTCCATTTAAAGATAATTTGAAAGAATTGACTATTAGATACAAACCCAGTGAAGAGACAACAGGCATCGATGACATTACAGATAACGACTATTTAAATTATGAAAATTCATTAACTAAAAGAGTACAAAAATTGGGACTATCTGGTCCAAGTCTTAGAACAGCAGTCAATTTTGATTTACCAAGATTACAGAAAATTGATATTAACAAGATTCTGATATTTAAAAACCTTGATCGTCTTTGCTTGTACAGTATGGAGGGAATTGACGTTTTTGATTGTAAGCTACCTGATTCCTTATTGAAATTAGAAATACATCTGTGTCACTTCAAACAGCTACACATAATATCTCCAAATATTATAACATTGAAACTCAGTTATTGTTACAAGATAATAAAATTAGAAACTTCAAACTTCACAATTCCAGCTACTATTGAAAGATTAGGGATTAACCACACTGATATTCGGAAAATCTCAGCAAGGTTCCCTGATGGAATGGAATTGTTGGATCTTTCATACAATAGACATCTCAGTTTCGTTTGTCACTTTCCTGTCTCTTTGAAGTTTTTGCTGTTGACTGAAACATCAATTGGTAAGACAGTTAATTGGATTGGTCAAAATTGTGTTTTACCAACGAAATTAGAAACCCTATACTTGTCATGTGCTCATATCAATGATAAGTGGATTAGAAAGATGAAGCTAAGCGAATGCAAAAAATTAAAAACCTTACTGTTATTTGCTGGGAAATTCAAAAAGCTTGATATAAACTCACTTCCGAAATCATTAGTGGTTTTAGAATTAGGGTGTTGTAGCTTCCAATCAATTGTTGGAAGTTTTAGAAGTTTACCCAATCTTGAATTACTTGGTCTCTTTGCAATTAATTTGCAAGGATATTTTGAAGGTATTGCTAACATTGGGGAAGAAATGTTTTCTGATAACATAAGATTTGTTGATTTACAACGTAATCTGTTATTCACAGATGAATTAGAGTTGATATATAAGGAGTTATTGAAGAAACCATATTTCGAGAGCTTATTGCCAGGAACTTCGTTAATTATTGGGTATAACGATTATGTACAAATGAAAAAGGCAAAACTAGGAGCATATTCCCTGCCAGGAGGCGGAGCTGATTGTTCATTCATTGACTCATTTTAATCGTATAAATGTCGAACTAGTACAACTAGTGTATCTATTCTGTATTGGAAAAAAAAATATATAAATGAAGTACCAAGTTAGTTACATGTATGATTATTTGGAAATGAAAGATAAGGAAGTAACTTCTAGATCAGCATCGATTGTACCCATATAAAGTAGGCACTTAATCCAGAGATTAAGTACTCTGATCAACAAACATCTTCAAACCAGCTGCTGCTAACCACCATTTACCTTTGAGATTTTTCAATCTTTGAATAACAGTTTTCTTCATTTCTTCGTCACTACCAGAATCGTTCGCGAGTAACGACAGTAAAGATCTTATATGTAATAGAGCATGAACACCAACAATGAAAAGTTGAAACCACAATTCATCAATCAGTAGTACACGCTTAGCATACTCATGAATTAGATTATATACTTCTTGATCCGAAGCAACGGGATCTACTTTGCATCTCAAGTACAACATTGATGTATAACAGTGGACCAAATCAAGCCACGGGTGAGCAATCTCACCTATTGGTTTCCATTGCAATAGATCATCCTGTAAGTGCTCATCAATGCTTCTTCCATGAACAGGACGATAACGAGCCCAAAGTGTTCGTTCAACTAATCTCGCCAATGAAACAAAATTTTGAAGGTGTTGGAATTCACCTGATACTTCATCAACTAGAACATCGTTCATGTTGAAATAAATTTCTCTTCCATGGGTAGCTGCACTTAGACGATCACAACAATATGAAATCCAGAACAATCTGTTCAATAGTGATTTGCCATAGTACATTTTTTTGTATACTCGATGTTGGGTGTCTTGAACTGTACCATTGGATCCAGATAATGTAGTCAATCCCACATCCCCACACAAATTACAGGCTCGAACAATGTATTCTTTGGATAACGAGCTTCCATTTATCCCTTCTTCATGGATGGACATTAGTAAGTACGATTGTAACAACACTATTTTATTATTCTCTAAAAGTTCTAATAATTTGCACCTTTCAAACAATTCTTGACATCGTTCTCGTACATCCCCTGGTCGACACCTGGTGGCTACCAAAAACATGGCGTTTAGTAATAGTAGTGGTGATTTCCACAAATCTTCTTTCTCAATCACAGGGTAAAAAGGGTATATGTTTTCCATGAACGATGTAAGTAATTCACGTTGCTCTGCAATTGGAGGTAGGACGAATGCACCTTGACTTTTCAAATATTCTTTTAGTTCCGAGTTGCTATCTTCTACCAAAGGTTCAATATTTGGGGAGTTTCTCCATGGATTAAACAATCCAAAATTATCACCATCAAAACATAGAAATTTATCAGTACTTAAAAGGGAAGCAATGGGGTGGGTTGAACATACAAATTGGGAATTATTGGAAGAATTCCTGGAAATTACTGTAGAATAAATCAGCTCCTCTTCTTTAAACCTGGCAAACAGATCACGCTGTTTTGGCCTTTCAGTTATCCATTGACAATCTTCATTTTTAATTGAACATGGTTCACACTGTGGGGAGTTCTTGATGGCGGTGCATTTACGGTGTAGTTTACGACAATTCAAACACGCAATTGAAGTTTTCTAACATCATATAGTTAGTCAGATTGCACACCTACGATATGAATATCACTGGCTACATACCTTTCGTTTTGTTGGTTGATCTGTTGTTACTATGAATTGTGTCATGGAGGTCGCCGTGTTGGGGGCAGGAGTGGGTGAGAGAAATGCTTATTCCACCAAGTCAACGATGAACGAAAAATCAACAACCAAAAAAAAAAAAAATAAAAAATTGTTTCAAAATTTCCAACAACAACAAACTAACAAACTTATCATCAGAGCCATTACAAAATGAAGACACCATCTAAAGATAATATCCCAGAAAGTGAAGGTATGTGTAATACGTTGCAAACCAATTTTTGATATCAGGAACACTTGTTACTAACAATTCCCATGATTTTAGAGGAGAGATTCAAACAAAAATGCAAAGAATTGAAGAAACGTGTATTGGAAGTTGAAGAAAGTAACGAGATAGCAACCATTGCTCTTAGTAGAACACTGGCATCAATTAGACGATTAAGATTAGAATATTCCATACTATTGGAAAGATTAGAAGATAGAGCCAAACAAATCCCGGATGGAATAGTTAGTTTTGAAGAAATGGCATGCCCACCAACTCCGACTATCTTAGATGATTCTTTAATTAAATCAAAAAATGGATCTAAAAAAGGTTCTAAATCCAAATCAAAGACAACAGGGTCTGGATCCGGAAGTGGGTCTGGAGCAAATGCTAGTGGTTCAGGAGGATCTGGAGGAGGCAGTGGTAATGGTAGTGGAGGAAGTCCATCCGATGTTGCAAGCACGACTATGGGAAAACAAAAGGCAAGAGACCCAGATTTGCCAAAGCGTCCTACTAATGCTTATCTAATATTTTGTGAATTGGAAAAGGAAAGAATTAAACTGGGTGATCCAAATGCCAGTGACATATCAAGAAGTATGACAGAAGCATGGAGGAATTTAAGTGAAGAAGACAGAAGACCTTATTTTAAATTATACGAAGAAGACAGAATTAGATACCAACGTGAGATGACCGAATATCACCAAAGAAAAGAAGGAGGAGAACCTGAATTGAAGAAACAAAAAATCGAACAGAAGGAACAGCCTGAAGAAACCGAACAACAACAAGAAGAACCACAAGAAGGAGAGCCACAAGCTGAAGAGCAAGAAGAAGAAGAAGAAGCACAACCCGAAGAAGCACTTGTCGTTGACACGGCACCAACTGAACCAGTTGAAGTTCCTGCATCATCTCCTGCACCAATAGTTTCCGAACAAGAAACTGTTCCACCTACTGAAATCGAAGTTGATACTGAAGTAACATCCGAACCTGAAGTTGAACCAGAAACCGAGGCTAGTGCTACCCCTGCTGCTGCTGTTGTTGCTCCTACTGATACCGAAGCTGCTATCAACACTGAAACTACAGAAGGTTCAGAAGCTCCACAATCTGAGAGTAAAGATGAACCAATGAATTAATAATTTAAAAATTAATGTACAAGTAAGTGTTATTGACTATACAACTTCTTTTATGTCTATTTAAATCATTCTCTTCTTTTTTGCTTTATAATAACCATTAGCATCCTTTTCATGCTTTCTCTTTTCTCTAACTCTTTCATGTTTCTTTAACTTTCTCTTAGCAGCAATATCTGGAGCAGACACCGCAAGTTGTGACCTCTTTGCCCTTCTTTCTTGTCTTCTAATGTTAACATTACGTTTAACTTGTGAGTACAATTTGGTATATTCTGTAGTACCAATCTTTTCTTTAACCAAATCCAATGCTTCTGTACTCAAATTAGTCAATTCATCATCTGGAGTTGCATATTGTGAATCGGTATAATTGTATAATGCAGAAATAATCATCTCAGAAATCTTGAGAATTCTATCCTCTTTAGTAAATTGAATAAACATAGCAGTCAATTTAATACATGATTTCTTAGATACCAATGAATGAACTTGTTCCAGTCTAATGATACCACATATTTTTGATAACATAACATCATTAGCAATTTCTTCATCCCATTTAGTTTGTTGATCTTCCCATTTCATAGCAATCAATACTAAATTCTTGGTTATTTGAGTACCCAAGTCTTCTGAAATTGAAGGAGCTCTTAATTGATGAATTAATCTATTGGCGATTATTGGTAAATCATAATCTTCATATGCATCTTCACTTGAAAGTAATATAGTTACCAATCGACATGAAATTAATCTTATCCATGAATGTGGGAATAATAAAACATCAATAATACCTTGCCAGATTTTACCATATTCAAAAATCTTTTCTTTAATGTTAGAAGCAATGGAACTGAATGTTGAAAGAGATGAATAAAGCAATTCCCATTCAACATCTTCACTTTTGGTATTCTCATCATCTGCATCATTCTTTGCACTTTCAATGATTCTTAAGATGTTATCACTAGCGATTTTATCCAATTCTTTATTCTTACCCATTCCATAAACATTGATGATTAATTTGTAAACACTAAAACCACATCTTTTTAATAAACTGTTTGAAGATTGTTTTAACCATGAAATACAATATTTTTCAATGTTATCAATGTTATCCAATTTCTTTAGGATTGAAGTAATCAAAGCACTTGCCATTTCACGACATCTACTTGAGACATCAGAAATTAAAATACTGGAAAGAGCAACAAAGAAAGAACTGGCTAATTTAGTCAATAATTCCAACCCAGCTTTCATAATAATCAAATGAATCAATTCCATAATTGATTGTCTACCTTCTTCAGTAGGATAAGATAAATTGCTAACCAAATATTTAAATTGCTTTTCCAATTTACCTTTACCTTGATCATATTCCATTAAGAATTGGAAATAAACACTTCTTGACATATCTCTAATTTCTTTAGAATGATTAACAATCATAAGTTTAGCGACATTATCCATTAAATCATAGATTTCTGGAATCATTATATGTTGAGCAACAACAGCTTTCAAAAAATTGAATGCCAAACCTTGACGATTTGGTTCTTCTAAATCAGGTTGAATTCTTGTTAATACATAACTAATAGCTGATTGTTTCATAGTGACTTCTGGATTATGTCTGATTGTAGTAGCCAAGAATTTCAAAGCTGCTTGACAAACATCCAGGTTTGTGGATGGAGAATCTTTAATCAAAACTAATGATCTTCTTGCACAAGCCTTGAATATAGATTGATCAGGGAATGGTAAACGAATAATCATGTTTAAGATTTTCAACGAGGCAGTAATAACAGTATCATTTTCTGATTTGACACCTTCTTCTAATAATGGAACAAATCCTTGTAAATTACCCACAGTTAATAAATTATCATGACGAGAAATGGCAGTTCTTAACAATTCAAATGAAAGTCTTTGCATGGTTTGTTTAAAAAGCGATTTATCAACATGTTTCTTGGTCTTTCTTTCCAATGTAGTCAAGAAATGTTGTTCTTTTTCTGAAACTTTAGCTTCTTGAACTTCATCATTTTCCTTTGACATCATATAGATTTCATAACAAAGATGCAAGATTTCAATATGGGAAGCTTGTTCATTATGATTCAAACCAAGAGATAATCTTCTCAACAATTCATCCAATTTAACTTGAGTCTTGTGTGCAATTGTTTCTTGTAACAATAATTTAATTGGTTCAATAATGTTTCCAAATTTATTTAATGAAACATTTGAGGATATAATTTCAGCAGTATCAAAACTCTTTTTAAATTTAACTTCCTTCATCTTACTGGTATAACCTTCAGCATCTTTTTCTTGACCAGCGGCACCAAAGATATCTTCCATAACAATGTCAATGATAATTTGAATACATTCATCTAAATCACCATGCTTCAAAACGGAATTAATACAAGTTAACAAATAATGAACAGTGAAACTCAAAACGTGAATTTGTGAACCTCTAGACAAAGCAGTTTTCAATTCTTTAAGAATAAAAGTCATATATTCTGGACCCAATGAAATAGCAATCTTACCCAAAGTTTTTCTAATCGCATCTCTTAATTCTTCAGATCTTGATCTCATAACTTGACAAGTACTTGTTAAAATACCTGGTAATTCACCATCGATTTTATCTTTGGTAATACACAACATGAAATTAGTTAAAGCTTCTGCTAATGGTGCTCTAGCAACAATAGTGTCATCATCACGTACTTGTAAGATCTTTAATAATGGTGGAGAAACTTCAAACAAGATAAATCGATCAAGTTCTTCTTGATCAGGAAGGTTCTTATTGGTACCTTGTTTAATAGATTCTGATAATGCAAATGAGACAGATACAATTAAATTGACCTTTTGTTTCAAGCCATCTTGAGATTTCAAATTGGCAATATATCTTTTAACAATTGCTTTGTATTGATTCCAAGTGATTGATCTTAATAAAACACCAATAGTTTCCAATGCTTCTAAACCAATATTTCTGTATTTATCTTCCTTTGAAGTAACATAACCTTCAATTATAGGCAAAATGTAATGGGAAATACTACCTTCTTTCAAGTCATTCTTATAGTCACATAATTTTCTAATGGCTTTTTGACGACGATGCAATTGAATGTTGTTAATACTTTGAAAGAAATTATCTTCATCATCTTCATGACCAACTAATACTTTCATATCTTCTAAATCAGTGTAATGATTAGAATGTTCAATGATATATTCTAACAACAAGATAAATTCAGTTTGAACATCTTCATTTTCTTTTCTAATACCAATTCTCAAGTTTGGAAGAATAATATCTTTTAATAATCTAATGTATTCATTTGGATGTTCTGATGCAGAATAACAATCAACAAATCTCTTCAACATATAACCTGCATTGACTCTGATTGCTAATTCATCTTTATCATTAATGAAAAACAAAGCACAATATAAAAGTGGTAACCATTGGATTGGAGTTAATGACTTATATAATTCCTCATTGACCAATCTATAAGATTCAAGTCTTTTTTCAAAATCATACTCATTCATTCTTTCAGTATATGAATTCAAGCCGGAAATAACTCCTGAAATAGGTTCAATTTCTTTGAATTTATTACCCATTGAATTAATGACAATAACCAAAGTTTCACGAACATTTTTAGCGACAAACATCTTGAATAATTTAGAAATGACTTTGTACAATGGTAAAATTTCTTCAAATGTACAATCATAACCATCAATCAAAGATGATAAAGAAACAAGAATATTTGCTTTGTTATCAAGATCAATTTGCGCATTATTCTTTTCGAGAGCTAATGTTAATGAGCCAATTAATGAAGCTTTAGTTTCTTGATCTTCAATATAATTACCAGAAATTAACAACAACAAACATTTGATTGCACGTGCACCCATTTCTTTAGAATAGATATTTGCAATAATTTGTGGCAAGTTTTGTAACAAAGAATCAACAACAAATGCCAATAAGGTGAAGAATCTTTCATCCATTTCATCTTTTCTTTCTAATGAATTAATTGTGAAATCTAAAACAGTATTCATAACTGATTCTTTAGCTTCTGTTCTGCCCAATAAAGATAAAATAGCTCTTACTGGGGCAAATTCATCCATGTACAAGAATGGTAAATTGTTTGATTGAGTGATCCAAAATCCAATCAATTTCAACATTGCTGATGGTTGTTGTAAATTTTGATCAGCAAAATTGTTCATTCTTGGATTCAACAAATTAGTATAGATCAAGTCATAATAATCTGACCAATCAAATTTATCACCAATGATTTTGAACAATTCCGTTAAACATCTCATACCATTCAGTCTTATATTCTTGGCCATCTTTTCAGTAATTATAGAATCAGTCAAACTTGTTTCTAATCGATTTTGAGCAGATACAAGGGAAAATACCAATGGTTCAATAGTTGATTTCAAAGCTTCACTATAATTTGCACCCAAAGTTTCATAGATTTCCAGTAATAAACTAATAACCCCATTGATTTTTTTCAATTCAGATTGATCTAAGCCAAGACTTGCTTAGGGTAAATTGTTTTGAAAGAATTCCTTGTATCCGGTTTTGTTTGCACCTAACTCAATAAATGAAATAATATCTGAATCTTTTAAACTTGGTAAAACGGTGATAACGGCAAACTTCTTTCCATGTTTAATATTAATTTTTGGCGAACCTTGAACTCTACCAAATAAAATTCTAATTACATATGGCATAAGGATTGGTTTATCTTGATCTTCAATTATTGAATTTGAAGTCAAGAATTTAGAAATTTCATCACTGAAAATAGTATCATCCAAGAGATTCTTAAGATTATCTCTGTATTTGACAATAGAAGGGTTATTCCAATTAAATAAAACATCAAGGGCAAGTTGTTGAACTTTAAGGAATTTACTTGTTAATAAATTCAACAAATAATCATACAATTCATCTGCTTCAGGAACTTTACTAATCTTTTTGAATTTGGTGAATAACTCAAGCAAGTCGTTTCTATCTTTTCTTGACCAGGATTGTAATTCATCTGTATCTCCATCATCAGAAGAAGTTGGTTGATTAATAACTATTGGGATCAATTTAGTAACATTATATTCAGCCACTGAAGGAACGGTTTTCAAAGCTGCTAAAACATGTGATCTAACCATTTCTTCAAATTTCCCATCTTTATTAGATGATAATTTGACTAAAGAATTGGTGATGTTTCTGAATGGTTCTAAGTAGTTTCTATCAAAAGTTTCAAAATTGTTCAATAATCTAGAATTTCTAGGTTGCCAATCAATCAAGCTACTTTCAACACCAAAAGATTCATCGATAACATCAGAAGATTGTTGATTATAATCCAATGTAAGTAATTTGTATGCAATTTCCCAAATTTCAGGTTTACAAGAACTAGCAATAATTGGTAATGCTTCATAAACCGCTGTCCAACAAGGTTGAAATCTATTAGAAAGTAACCCAAATAAGTAGTTGACAATAAGTTGTTTATCAATATTAGAAGGTTTAATTTCTTTCAGATATTCGATTGCTAAATTTCTAATACGAAGGGTAATATCTCTACCAGTACTAATATTCAATGGAATTTGTTCAATTAATCTAATTTGTGATAATATGCTTGATGGTTCTGGTTCTTCTTGTAATGTAATAACCAATTCAATGGCATTGGTACGTAATTCATGAGTAGGATAATGTAAACACTGGATAGCTTTGTTCAAGAAATTTCCAGATTTAGTAACTAAAATATAGTCTCTTAATGAAGATAAAAATTTTGATGATTTGTCAAATTTATTGAAATTTGTTTCCAAGAATGTAGTGATTTCTGATTGTAATTTTGAATCTGGAGTTTCATTTAATTTTTGAGTAATAATATTCAATACAATAGCTGCCAACTCTCTATCAAGTGATGAACTTCGAAGTTTGAATAATAAATCTTTCAATAATTTCAATTCAATTTCTTTGAATGTATTGGAATAACTCAACAATAATAATTTCCAATAGATTGACTCAAATGACCCTGATTTGATATCGGAATTGACTTTCTTACTGATATCAGATGCTAATGAATCTGGAATGACAAATTTAGTGGTGGTATTGATAGTTTCTAAGAAAAATGTCAAAGACTCCGCTTCATCATTGGTACAATTATTAATATAATTTTGAATATACTTGTAAATTCCAAAATTGGTGACTTTTGCAGTACAGACAGATAAACTCCCTTCAGCAAAAGTCAAAAATCCATTAGTCTTGTAAGCGGCATCCAAGTATTTCTTGTGACGAATTGTCAAGGATTGAATATCAGCATTTCTAAATACAATGACCATAAGATATAAGAATGATTCCATTAATTCTTGTGAAGTTTCTTGTGGAAATTTAGAAACTAATGTGTCAACTACATTAAGAACAACGTCCCAATTGTTGATTTTTTTACCTGATTCAGCAAACGATAATGTAGATAATATTTGACATGAAGTTAATAATTCCAATTCATTAGTATTCTTCTCCAACAACTCATTCAAGTAATCAGTGACCATAACGTAAAACTTATCACAGGATTCAGCAGTACCATGGTTTAGGATTTCAAGGGTTATATCTGAAATTATACTTATAAGCTTAGGGTGTGCTTTCTCGTCAATTTTGTATAATGAAATCTCCATTAACTTCAGAAAGATGGATTGAGATTTTGAATGGAATGTACCCTTTGTGTTTTTCATGGCTTCACTGTACAAGATAGTCAAAGATTCACAATATGAATCATTATTCAATACTTCATCTAATTGATCAAATAGGGAAAAGTTTATGATTTCAACTAATGAATCAGAACTCAGTTTTCTAATTAAAAATGATAATGCTTCTGCACAAAATCTTGAAATATAAGTTTTCTTAGTTAATTTCAAGAAAGGTAATAATTCAATAAATGTAGGTTTTAAATCTTTAATTAAATCTCTTGATAAATATTTAAATGAAAATGCCAATGTGTTGAAAGCCCACTCCAAAACATTTGAACTGTTTCTATTATTTTGATAATCATTTGGATTGACTTCCATTACTAATTCAGTTAACAATTTTAAAGTTTGAGTATAGTAAGGCAAGAAATCCGATCCTAAATCATGAATGAATTGGGACAATAATTCTAATAATGGTTGAATTGAATGAACATCATTTTTAGCAATCGCTTCATTTAAAGCTTGATAAATTAAATCTTTATGGTATATTAATTGAGGTAATGATTGACAATGTTGTTCAACTTGATTTAAAAACTCAGTGAAGACTCCTGATAAGTTTGTTTCTTTCCAATGTTCTAATGTAGTTAAGAAATATGAATCGGTTTGATCTTCTGTATCGATATAATCATAAACTCTTTTCGTTAATTTTTTACTTGGTTCGATTCTTATTGAGTCGACTCTTTCACGGAATGATGAAAAAGCATGTCTCCTACTAGATTCCGTAGTCTTAGTTCTAGGTTTCAGCATGGTATGAATCGGTAAGTGTGGAGATATAGTGACAGCTTCTTGATCTATAGTTAGATTAAAAATTTTCATAATTTTTTCTTTTTTTGTTTGGTAACTTGTGAAGAGCATCGCTCGTGCTAACAAAATCCTGCAGATAAACTTGTCTCACATTTTTGTTTTCTGTACGTCGCACACGCCTCCAGGTCCACGCCTAAAGAGATAAAAATTTCGGCAACCAGAAAAAAAAAAGAATCAACAGACAGCAACAAGGATAACCAGAGACAAACACTGGACAGCCAAACCTTTAATCATCAACATACACAATGTCAAGTTCAGATCCAGATAGAGTTCCACTTCTACTGTCGAAAATACCCGAAAATCCAATCATATTACCATCTACTAATACACAAGAACGACAATTACCGCGTACCACCCCACCACCGAGTGGAGGAGTAGGAGTAGGAGTGGGAGGAACAGCAGGATCAAATCAACCTGGGCCATCGCCCACGGGATCAGTGAAATCCAATTCCAAAATGGTTAAATCTAGTAAAATTGGTTTGCAGAGAACAAGTAGAACATCACAAAAACTTAAATTGTTACCGGAAGACCCTGATCTTGATAATTCAACTCTTGATGATGACGATGAGGAAGATGATGATAAACCCACGAGAGTTTATTCACAAGTTAAGAAGATCACTGATACAACTGCGCGTAAAGATGCTGAGACATTAAACAAACTGCATAGAGATTTATTGCCTCGTGTTACTGCTTATTGTACTTGTGGATCATACAAGATGAAGGAATTATTAAGATGGTTGAAGGATAAGAAGAAAATTCATAATACTAGTCCTAAAATGTTTGACGAATGTATATATACTCCATTCACATATAAAGATTGGCGACATGGCAGTAGTAATAGTAGTGGATCTGCTAGTACTAGCACCGACGAAGAAGACAAGAGGAAACTCATCAGATTAGCAGATGAAGGGGGAGAAATTGATATTGGTAAGAAGAATGATATTTTTGTATTCGAATTTGGAGTTGTTATAATGTGGGGTTATACATTAAAAGAAGAAGCAGCATTCTTAGATGATTTGGAAAGATTTGAAAATGAAAAGTTATCAGAAGAGGATATTCAAATTGAAGAATTCAACTATTATATTACCAAATCGTACCAGCCAAGAATTTATAATGATTTTATTACATTAAGAGATGATGATAATTATATGTTGAAATTGTCGATTTCGCATGGATTGGCGCAATCAGTTAAGATTTCGTTGTTTGAAGAATTGGTGGATAATACAATTGAAGATACTCAAGATATTCCTCAACAAATTGCTCAAACGGGTAAAGTTGAAATGACCAGGGAAGAAATCATGAAATCAGTTGGGGAATTATTTATTTTGAGAATAAATATTAATTTACATGGATCAGTATTGGATTCTCCAGAGTTAATGTGGTCTGAGCCACATTTAGAGCCGATTTATCAAGCGATGAGGGGGTATTTAGAAATTAATCAACGTGTTGAATTATTGAATCAAAGATTGGAAGTCATATCTGATTTATTGCTGATGTTGAAAGAACAATTAGGGCATTCACATGAAGAAAATTTGGAATTCATAGTGGTTGTTCTTGTTGGTATTCAAGTATTGGTAAGTGTTGTTAATATAGTTGTGGATATTTTGACATATTGAATTAAAGTGTCAGTGTCTGTATCAATATGTGTGTGAGTGTGTGTGCTTGCACGTGCACGTACACGAGCATGTAATGCATGTCTTGAATTTTAATAGAAAAAGAAATTTCAAATTTTTTTAGTCTTTGCAGGTGAAGAATATAAAATAAAAAGATAAACAATAAAGAACAACATGAAATTAATCAACTAGACGGACTTCCGTTGATATTAGATAAATAGATAGATCTCTCATGCACCATGCACCATGCATGTACCATTAGTTTAGAAATTTAATTTGTTCGAATGCTTTTCCTTTACTTGAATTGATGATGCGGATTAATATATCCGTGTAACCGCAATTTCCGTAATTAATCGTGAAGATGGGAGTATGAATACCAGCAACAACAATAGCAACCGACTTCAAAGTACATTTTTTTTAACCGACCATGCAGATCAAAGTGTTGAAGACATGAACTTTGAATTCAATCTCTAAACCTTAAAGTGTGTGTCTGCATATTACAACAAGGGAACGGCAAACATAACAAAGAAAAAGCCCATTAGGAACATTACGATGAAGTTTACTGTCAAATGGAATATTATGGTGTGATGTTCAACTAGTACGGTAACATTATTTGAATTTCATATCTTTTTATTTCAGTTGCTGTTGCTTTTGAATACTTGTGACATCATCACGGAAAAGAGAGAGAGAGTGTGTGTGTCATCGAATATAGAATGGTGTTTTTAGGACATATATTTGATTTAGCAAATACATTACATAGTTCAATTTATGTTGCCTAAGGGCTGTGATGCAGACAAGTAATGGGTCATGTAAATATTGGTGTTGTTGCTAATGTGATCAATACTTGGCAATACCTTATCTCACAATACTGTATAGAACCCTGTGACTATATAAAGATAGATAGATAGAGAGATTAAGATAGTTGCTCCTATAAAAAATGAAAGAAGAAAGAATGCAGGCAGGCTTAGTTCGAATGGTAGCGTTTATTATCTCAATGTACGACATTGAAGAGAATTATGAGAATGACAACATTTTGTTCAATTGTGGCTTGTTAAGGAGTGAAATAAACAAATGACCGAATGAATGAATGAATGAACAACTGGGTAAACGATACTCTATGGATACTCGTAACCGCTAGTAGTTTGTGTCTATTAACATTTAGACGAAATTTCATGGTTACATATTTCATGGGACCAAATAACGAAGAACCCAAGTTAACTAGAACCCAACACTCATCTCTAAAAATTTTCTAATTCACTCAGACCAGCCAGTCCTCCTCCTCCTTAACCGGGGAAGACTATCAGTAAGTTAATATTACAGGAAATTGTTAAAAATAATTGTTGTTACAAAAACCGGAAAGTAGAGGCATTATTCCGGTTATTGTTCCGATATCTTTGTACAATGAATTTTAATGTGGGATTAACTAATTTTGTGGTTATTTATTGAACGATTATATCAGCGCTAAAAAACGTTTTATTAAAATTGAAATTAGATGAAAGAGGAAACAAAAAGGAAAAGGAAATGGAAAAGGAAGGTAAGCTTTGTGGCCTGTAGTCAAGTCAATAAATGTGGATTGAAATACGAATGGAGTACACTGTTGTTGATATTCGCCCAAAAAAACAAGAGAACCTCTACAACTAAGCGA